AGAGGAAGAGAGAAGATATGAAAAACAGAGGAAAGAAGAGAAGAAAAGACTAGACGATAAGAGAGGAAAAATCTATGGCAGCTCTGATACCATATTGAGTTTGTAGAATTGGTGAATATAATTGATCGATCGGGGCTGTGTTATATACACATAATTTGACTTTACATAGAATAAATCAGAGTTAATGAAACGTGATTACAGGGGAGGAGAATATGTCAGAGTTACGTTAGCTTAATTATAGGGAGAGAATTATATACTTGCTATATCTTATCAGTTCTGTCCCAAACTTGCGCTGCAAACAGGCAGAGCAGAAGAATGTGAAGCTCATCTTCAGTCGCTCCGCATCTTTTACAAGTAAGGTCGACTGTGATGCCTCTCATGGCCAGTGTTTCTCCTACCGGTAGGGCTCTGTTTTTGATCTTCCAAAGGAAAGTCTTTAGTTTGGGGGAGGTTCTGACTTGCCATACACATTTGAGTCAGTGAAAGGGAGGACCTGGTCTTGCTTTTGAGTGGATCTTAGAGAGCGCATAGCCTGTTTTAGTAGAATACTCTCCTGATTTGACAGGTAACCAAGCGGGTTCATCAGTCAAGCGATGATCACTGGGCTTGAGCTTTCGAATGTATTCCTCATACTGAGATAAATGGAGTCGTATTGCTTCTAGGTTCCAGGTAGGGGAGTTCGGCATCAGGAGATCTTTGACAAGCATTTCCTCGTTTGCAAAAGTCGGAGGGCCTATAAGTGCTAATGGTTGAGAGGTAGAAAGCCAGCTTGTACGCCATACTTTGGTGCTTTCCCCATCCCCTATGATCCAACCGAGCCTTCACTTTAGTACTTTTCTTCCCGCCAGGAGGCCCTTCCAGCCATGTGACGAGTTTGTGTGAGCTTTGCATTCCATGAACGAGCTCCTGCAAAGCTGCTGTAGTATGATCAACCTGCCTCCCACAGGTCTGGCCTCCACCCCTCTTTATCCGTGGGTATTCTGAAACCTCTGGACTTGCCGTAACCAGCTGCTATTTGAGGATAAATCCTACACATCAGAAGAAGTGGCTGACAAGGCTTTTGCGGACGCTAAAGCCTGGCACTCGGCGCAAGAATTGGTGATGCAGCACAAAGTTGAAAGCTCAGGACCTCGTCCTCGCCCCCCTAAAGCCAACACCAAGCCTTTATTTTGCTTTGTAGATGCGGCCTGGGATGAAAAGACAGACCGGAGTAGTCTAGGTTGGGTCCTAAAAGACAGTTCGGACATTACCCTATTTCAAAATTCTGGGAGTCAACAATATGTTAGCTCAGCACTTGTTGCAGAAAGGTTAGTTCTCAAAGCTGCGATTTTTGATGCAGCGTCTTCAGGTATAACTGAGCTGAGTTGTTACTCGGACTCAAAAAACCTTATAGCTCTTATCAATGGAAATGGCAACTCCGTTGAACTTCGAGGCATCCTCCACGTTGAGTCGAGCCTTCTCTTTTATCAGTTTTTCCTTTATTCCTCGGTTGAGCAATCCGCAGCTGACTTTGTAGCTAAGGCAGCTTTAGCTTGTACCATGAACTCTCCCATAGTGAAAATGTAAATTCTGTTTTCCTAATATATTCAAAATTTGACCAAAAAAAAAATATAATATTTTTAATTAATACAATATCAAATTCGCAATAAATCGAGTTCATAACATAACACATGTAATCTTAATGCAACTCACCTTTTCTAATTTGTAGCCAATTTTTCCACGTATCAGAGAAGAATTAAATCGTCGGTAACCGAACAAATCCATCTAGAATTTCAATCTAAAATCAAAGAGAAAGAAAAAAAAAAAACTGAGAAGCTGGCACAGATTATGCTGACGTGGCAGGTATCATAAGATTTGGAGTGACGTGGCAGATACAAGAAGATCTGGTTGGTGCATAGATATGCGTTGTCATCGCCATATTATTAGAATCCTTAGACCAACTCCAATGGAGACCTTGAAGGGTCTAAACAAATCTTCTTAATAATAAAACTGAATAAAAAAATGGTTCATGGTGTCTTATATTTTATACCAGTGTCTAAAATAAGATACCAGTGTCTAAATTAAGAACGCACACGTGGCAAGATGTGAGTGGACGATGAAAAATTTCAGTTTCTGAATTGCATATTTATAATTTATATGCTTTTATGTACAATAGAAACTTTATAAATTAATAATTTTGGGATTTCGATATTTTATTAATTTATAGAGTTATTAATTTATCAATTTTGGATAAAATAAATTATTTATTAATAATTAATTAAAATAATATTTTCTTTTTAACTTTATAATATTTTTCAAAATGTTTATTATAAAATTAGAGATAAATAATAAAAATATTTTAACTTTAGTAAAAAAACAGAAATATATTTATATTTAATAGATTATTATTATTATATAATTATATAAAATTATTTTATATGATATTTATTAATTTATGATATAAATAGGGCTATATTTTACATAAAGTTTCAAAAAAATATTATTTTATTAATTTATTAATTTATATTAAATTTTAGATCGATATAACTCGGAACCGAACAAAAGTATTGATTTATCGAATTTAGTAATTTATTAAATATTAATTTATAAAAATTTCTACTGTATTAAATTTTTGAAAATCTAATATGATTTAAAAGTTGTTAACAAAAATTTATACTTAAATTTATTAAAAAAAAAATATATATATATATATATATATATATTTTTTTTTTAAGACACCCATCAAAAGTATCTCTATTGTATACTCTAAAAATAACAAAATATTACAAAATATCTTATATATAAAAAGTACACAAAATATTAATAATTAATCAATAAGACACCCACCAATAGTGTCTCTATTGGGCTTGCTCTTAATGTTCCTCCAAAACCAGTCACCGTCCGTAACTGTTTTCCTCTTAGACAATCTTTTTTTTTATGTATATTTATTTTCTGAATTTTACTAGTAAATGTTAGTTACTTTTTTTTCTTAGGGAAATTAACCATATTAACTTGAAAATGACACTTATAGTAATCTAATTTTTATATTACTATTAGGTTGCTGTTTTTAATGATGGTGGCGCGCCGAATTAAAGTGTGTTAATGTGCATGTTCTTTATTCAACAAGAAAAAAAAGCAAAAGTATATGTAGCTAAATTACGGAAGCTAATCACTAAAAGTTTAGAGCCGTAATTGTGCTAAAATCTGGAGGAAATAAACTAAAAAGTCTTACATACCTTCTTAACTTTTCAAACTAACAAAATACCTATAATTCAACAAATAAGCATTAGTTATCTGACATTTTCGATTATACAATATAATATAATACTAGTAAACTGAATTGTACGTCCGTATTAAATATGATGTTATAAGAAACGGGAGATCAACTGAAAATAGGACATTGACTAGATTAGAAAATTAAATGTGTTTTTTTAGTCTAGTTTTTTTTCAATAATTTGGATCCATCTTCATACTACTTTTTAGAAAGTATTTAAATAATACTATATAGTTACAGAAATGTTGAACGGTGGAGTGGAGGGAGATACAAGCTTTGACTTTTCTCACGTGAGAACGAAGAAGTGGAAATTTTCCCTCTTTAAATGTAAATCGTTGACAGATATTCGTGAGATAAACATTGACCGAATAGATCCGAGTGAGTTCGGGTCGGGTCGGGTGTATCGCTTTTAAGTACGGCTAATGCACGGCGCAATACGTGGCCCGATGAATGCGGACGATGTGGGTCCCAATTTAGTTTTGCTTATCTTAATTTCTTTGAAAATAATTTTAAGTAAAATAATTCACTTTCTTCTATGTAAGTGGGAGTTTGAGTCTCTGTCTTCTAAAGTGAAATATTTTGGGAGTAAGTAATTGGCGGGAATCGGTAAAAAGCTGTTAAGAGAGATATACTCCAATTTTTTATGAATTTTTTTTTGGTATGAATTTTTTATGAATTGAAACATAAAAAAATGCAACTACTTATCATGCAAAATGAATACGAATGATTAATAATTGAAGTGAGAGTATGAGTTTTTATCTAAACTAAAGATGTCAAAGCAGTAGCAAACTTAGCAATAGCATGCATGAAAATATGAAAAGGGTTCAGGACCAAAAAAAAGGTTAAAGAAGTAATGATGGGTGTTACTGTTGAGCTTACCAAAATCCGTTCTTGATTGATGCTCCAACTTGTTTTTCAAGCAAACCAAATTTATTCTTCCTCTTTCGTAATTCGTAAACCAATTCGTAATAAATGAATCAAACTCATATTTATTGTGTTATGTCTTTTATAACGTAACCAGGAATTTCCGGATCTTTGCTTTATTATTTGTGGCAGGATTATGTGTGACTTCAATATTTTACTCTTTAGTTTACGTGTGAACGTACTCATTAACTCATATTTCCGTCGAGTTACGTCGCAGTCTTTGCATTTTTTTTTTTCTGTCAACTATAGTCATTGCATTTAGATTGATTTTTTGTGTGTGCAAATGCACTTAGATTGATATAAACAGTGAAACACCAAGGTCAATTTCGTCATAATAAGACGATTCACCTTTGAAATAATTTACCCGCGTAAGTAAACAAGTAAAAATCGAGAAGAGTCAAAAGGCTTATATTTGCATTCGGTCAGCAAAACAAACATAAAAAACATTTGCATAAATACAAAAACTCTCATCATTATAATTTATATAAGTATGAAACGCTTCATATAAAGTCAACTCAATACTCTTTAATCTGTCCACCTTTATTTAGCATCAAGTTTACAAGTCACAGTATACTTTTAAATCCAGGAAGCAATGAGATAAACTACTCGATTATTCTGATAAAAAAAAAAAAACTACTCGATTATCATTAGTACTATCTATAAACAAAGATAGGTTTTAATTATATATAAAAAATTTGACAGAACGGTTACAAACCTACTTCCCACCTTACGTAGAAATAGTAATCTATTTTTTAAGTTTAATTTTGACAAAATAAATTAAAACTTAGCCAATTATACCTCTCACTCTCTCTCTAACTCTAACTTTGGACTTTCCCTCCCTCCATAAATACCCAACCTCACTCCTCCTTCTTCCTCACCATCATCTCTTCAATTACCAAACCTAACTCTTCTTTAACAAGAGCGCAGGCTCGAAAGCGCTCTTGTTCTTTCTTCATCGTCTCCTCCTTTACCCTCATAGTAATCTAGAACCCCTTTAAATTTTTGGATAATTCACACAAAATATGGCTATTAACCTAGCAATTCTCTTTACCACATTCTTCCTCTTGAACCTCGCCGATGCTAGAATCCCCGGCGTCTACTCCGGCGGCGCGTGGCAAACCGCACACGCCACTTTTTACGGCGGTAGCGACGCCTCCGGCACTATGGGTCAGTCCACACACAAAACAGAGCATATATACAGAGTAAATAATACACCCAAAATAAAAAAAAATCTTTCTTTTTTTAACTAAATGGGTTTTGTCTCTATATTGATTATTACAGGAGGAGCTTGTGGTTACGGGAACCTTTACAGTCAAGGCTATGGAACCAACACGGCTGCTTTGAGCACGGCGCTGTTTAACAACGGTATGAGCTGTGGATCCTGCTTTGAGCTAAAATGCGCCAACGACCCACAATGGTGCCACTCAGGTAGTCCATCGATCCTCATCACCGCAACCAATTTCTGCCCACCAAATTTGGCTCAGCCCAGCGACAACGGAGGATGGTGCAACCCGCCACGTGCCCACTTCGACCTAGCCATGCCTGTCTTCCTCAAGATCGCTCAATATCGCGCCGGCATTGTCCCCGTCTCATACCGCAGGTACATATCTCATATCCATGTTTGGAACATTTGCAAACTAACAAGATATTAAGACCATAGTTATGGATTTTTTTTGTTACATAGATAAAACGTCTAAAATATAATTAGCGGAGGGCATTTTTTTCACATTTTAAAACTAATTTTTGGAACTTTTCTTTCTTTTAAAAAATCAGAATTCAAAATCACTATTTTTAGATTTCTGGTTTACGGTATTTTAGTGAGTAAATGCTACTTTGGTTTTTTAGTCTGTTTGGTGTGTCTTTAATGTACAACAAATTAATCAATAAATTGTCTAAATTTTGTTTTATGTTTACATGAGTGTGAAAATGTTGAAGGGAGTGAGTAAACGAGTGTGAAATGTTGGTTTTTGTAGGGTGCCATGTAGAAAGAGAGGAGGGATAAGGTTCACAATCAACGGTCACCGTTACTTCAACTTGGTTCTGATCACTAACGTGGCGGGAGCAGGAGACATCGTGAGGACGAGCGTGAAAGGTTCACGGACTGGTTGGATGAGTTTGAGCAGGAACTGGGGTCAGAACTGGCAGTCTAATGCTGTTTTGGTTGGTCAGTCACTTTCTTTCCGCGTCACAGGCAGTGACCGTAGAACCTCTACTTCATGGAACATCGCTCCTTCTAACTGGCAGTTTGGTCAAACCTTTGTCGGGAAGAATTTCAGGGTCTAAACGATGATTCTCGAGAAACTAAATTTGGGGAAAATCGAAAATATTAAAGTGGTCGAGACAAAAGAAAACTCTCCGCTAATTTCGCTCCTCCTTTTTTTTTTTTCTCAAAACGAGGGAGAATAGTATCTTTGACTTTTGTGTGTTTTCTTTTTGATGTTTCTTTTTTTTTGGGGTTTTGGTGTTTTTAATTGTGAGTTATAAAAGGGGAGAGAGAAAGAGAGTAGCTGAAGTGGCTGTGAGAAAATTTTGTAACAGCCCGCAGCTATTAAAGTATTTACATGGTTGGGTTGTAGTAACGTTTAGTTTCGTGTAATTGAAAACATGGTTGTATTATGATACTACTACATTCTAGTACTAATCTTCTTGTTTGTTTTTTTAACTAGCCATTTACAAAAGAGTTTATCTAAGAGTGAAAGTTAATGCACGTTAGTGATAGATCCATGGGGATCCCACTTAGATTTGGTAACGAGAAACAAGAATAATTCAATGGCTACTGGTCTAAAAAGCTTTTAAATTAGTAAGTGGGATTGGTTTTTGACAGATGAATTTTTTAAATATAAATAAAAGTATTTCCGACAGCATTTGATGCAAACGTAACACGAGTCCCTTTACTTCTTATTCATTTTTCCTTTTTGGTGATATGAACGGATCATGTATTCTCCACTTACAAATTTAGCTAAAGTTTATATTCATTTTTATTATATATCTTTTTTTTTTTTTATACCACTCCACTTTGTAATTCATGAAAGCTTGAGGTTTAGATATATTAAACCCGATATCGTCATGCGATAATTCTATACCGAGTTGGTCTACGAATGATTAGCTGGTCCTATTCAAACATTGTGGATTGTATTTTGTCTCGTTTCTTTTGTCAAAGTGTCAATATAATCTTTGTTTTGTTTTAAGTTGCAGTTTGCAAACAAACGATACATCCGAGAGAAAAGTTAAGCAGACATTGTTATTCACTTATCGTATCACTATCATACATAATGATTTTTCATATTTAAAACGACAATAGATAGCGAAATTCGTGTCCATATGTTTGAATCTCTACCATTTTAGCTAAAGGAACTTTTGCTTTTCTCTTTAAACATTCCATAACCATAGCCTTCAGGTTGCCTGATCGAGGCAACTGGCTATAGATCCATTCCAAAAGAGATTCAATATCATCTGCAAAATCTTTCATGTGCCATTGTAGAAGCTGTGGAACCACAATTTTTTTCTTGCTTGAAACACCCACGGAAGCTTCTAGATACTCCACTCTTGCTCTTCCTAAATCATTCACTACCTCATCTGCTGTATAGACTCTAAGCTGCACATGAACATCAATCTCGTCATCCATATATATTTGAGTAATTTACAATCGTCAAGAGAAACTATGTTTGCAATCTTACTGCTGGTGAAGACCAACTTCCGCGGCAAAGCGCAAATGTCACGTTAGGCTCCGAATATCCTAAACCATAAGTGTGCCGCAGGAGAGTTTCTTTCTCATCAAGCGAGTCCTTTTTTCGTGAAGATGTTGATTAGCTTCTTGTGGCAATATTTGCGTCTATATATAGGCATGAATTGATAGGAAATGCACTTACATGTTCTGGTTCACAAGGATGGCGTAAGACAAAATGTTCAATCGCCAAAGCGTTGAGGACTATGCCACCAACGTTGAGTGAAGCCTGCCAAAAAATATAAAGAGCATCCTAAGGTTTGATAAAAAAAAATTACACAATTAAGGACAACACTAAAGTTACCTTGTTCATCAAGGTAAGTAGTCTATTGTGCGACGAAGGTAACCCATACTCAAGAAATGCCTATAATCAGAACACATAATTTGATTTTAAGTTCATATTGTGTGTGATATGTATGTACATATTTAGTTACATTAAATGTACATGTAGCCGTACATGCATGATACAAGCGTTGTAGATGTTGATCCAGAAAGCGAGTTTTTGCTTATAGGTCAAGAAACTCAAATCCACCTCTGATAGTTTTTCCATCAAAACACTGCCATGCACACGTAGATAGTAAATAAAACAATTTCATCTAGAACTATACTCTTTGACGAGATCATTTCATATGTTGAATTCAGAGAATGTAAGACTAATACCTCAAGCGTGGAACAGCCGGTGAACAATAATGGGTAAAACGGGTCACATCGATGGAGTTTCTTGAAATGTGAATGAAGTTCTTGTAAGGGCCAATGTCTCTAGTGAATCCTCCGCTTGAGTCTGGCAATACGTGGTAAGGATCGAGACTCATTGCGTTCTGATAATAACTATATGTGTTAGATTTCCGGCTACAAGAAGAGGGCCCTCTCGAAAACGCGACATCCTCTTTGGTCTTTGATGAAACCTGATTCAGTTCCAAGTAAATGCCTATGAGACAGTGAATGAGTTGTTCAGATATTTCGTTTGGATCATCTTTGCTCTTCACTTCCACAAGCCGAAGCCCTTTTCTTACTCTACCCATCTGCGTTCTCGATAATCCATTAAGTTCATCTGCATGCCCAGAAAAATCATGACTTTGAGTGCAATGTGAAGCATTCGGTTTCTCGGTTTTTATGAAAATAAAGTTTCGATTTGAGAAATTTGGTATGGTTCTGTTCAGTTAGGTTAGGTTTTCAATATTCTTTATGTCCTCTAGTAGTAATGTGCATCTCTGCATCTTATAAACCTAATAATGAATAAGCAAGTACAGCTACTTACCTGTGAAGCCACCTGAAGAAGTGGCATCCAAGAAATCGGGAGCATAAGAGGAGAGCCTTGAGTGAGTGCTTGAGACAGTACCTAGAGCAGAACGTTGGTAGTGATGTGACAAAGATCGTTGATGAAGATCATGTCTTAGTGTCAAACTATTGCGTCTCACATGATTCTGTCTTGCCAATGTCCTCTTCTGCTCGGTCATCTCTTGCGTTTGTCTCTGTTCGTAGCACAATTTGAGCTTCAGCTCCTCGATTTTTCGGTCTAGACATGCGATTTCTGCCTCCACAACGGCTAGTTCTTGTATAAGCTCGGAAAACTGATAGACAATCAAATTTATTAGTTATTTGGTCCTTGGCTGGACATTGAAATTGTGTGATACATATGTAATGGTATTCGTATTGGTATTGCCTGAGGTGGAAGAAACAATGAGGAGAGACTTGGGAGCGAAACAACAGAGCCATCGAAAACAGACCGTAAACTTCTACTTAGTGCTTCTTCTTTCTCTAGTTTCTCTTTAAGATGCATTACCTGCACAAACAAAGAACATTAAAAATGATAATAAGTAATTTTTTGGAATTGAATTTTTGAGTCTTTTCTTTGCAGGAAAAGAGACTCTTACTCCTTCCTCTAAGTCATGTCTTTTGTTACTATGTTGCTGTGAAGCTTCCATGAGGAGTTCCTCAAATTTCATGCGTTTTTTGAGTTTCAGAGAAAACAGAAGGCGAACGAAACAAGTCTAAGTAGAGAAAGAGAGAGAACGTATAGTATATATATAAGATTAGACTGAAACGTGGGAGCCATTAAAATGGTCGGTCGGAGAATTGGACTGAGCGAGTCGTTTCTATATAACGAATTAAAACAAATATTAAAAATTTAAAACAGTTATTGACTTTTGGTTTTTGGTCACTTTGAGGTTGTTAAGGGATAATGTAAGTCACATGAGACTTGCCGTAATAACGGCGAATCATATTCAGACAAATGAAAACACAAAAGAGTTCTATTATAATTACAAACACAGTTTTTAGAGGTGGGCATGACGTGAACCCCATCACCGTATAGATACAGATAACATATGCTTCATAAAGCAATAACGGCTTAAAACCTTGTTAGAGCTTGATATCTTAATCTGTATACATTTGTAACGACTTTAGGCACTAACATCTAACTGTCGATTTTGCTTCCACCAAAAGTTCCCAAACAAACCAAATACAAAAAAAAAGAAAATACGGAACGATATAATCCAAAACCAACAGAGCCATTCAACGACATCAACACGGAACAGCTTCTCCATCTGCCTGAGACTCTTGACCATTGGTCTCACCGACCAGAGGGCTTTTCTCGGTCTCAGCGACTAGAGGGCTTTTCTGGAACTTATTCCTCAGCTGACCACAAGCAGCACTCGCATCAAGCCCTCTTGTTTGCCTCACACTTGCTGTTATCTTACGCGACTCCAACGCAGCCGCAAACGCTAGGACCTGCACCATTGATTTAATCAAAAAAGAGATTAGAGACTTTCAAAGAATGGTTATTAGCATTAAAAAAAAAAAGGAATGTTCGGGCCTAATAGATATTAACATACCGCTTTCTTGTAAGGTCGCTTGTACTCTGATCCTTCTATTGGGTTGTAAGGTATCAAATTTACGTGATAGGTTTTACCCCATTCACGTAGCAGCTCTGCTAGTTCCACTGCGTGCTCTACTGAATCATTGACTCCAGCTGCATCATATCGTTTATCAACTTTCGTTAGTGTTAAAAAGAATATAATGAATGAGGGAGACGAAGATAAACAAACGTCACAAACCTAGAAGCGCGTATTCAAAGGAGACTCGTCTATTTGTTTCTTGGAAGTAATCACGACAATCCTTCATAATTGCTTCCAGCGGATAAGCCTTGGCACTTGGTACAATTTTCTCCCTGAGACTCTGGTTTGGTGCATGTAAGCTGATTCGCCAGAAGAGAAACCACAAGAATGAGTAAATAACCTTCAAGAGGTTATTTCTTCAGAGACAATCAAAGAGACAAGACCACACATTGCATGATTTGAAAATATGATTTGAAAATGGGATTATTTCTGGCCTAAGAAAGCTGAGTAGAGTAAGATACTCAAAAGACGTTTGTATAAAAGAACAACAACACATGAATAAAGCCAGAAAGTGATGAAGCACCTGACAGCTAAGGTCGACTGAAGCTTATGAGTGGCAAGCTTCTTGATTGTGTTTGGAACACCAACTGTCGATATTGTAATCATTCGTTGCCCGATTTCAATGTCCTAAGTGAAAGGAAGAGTGACTGCTATGTTAACATTATATAACATGACTTTCTTTATGGTAAAGTCTTTGTCTTGGCTTGTCAATTGATTTACAGTGCATAGACACTTAGCAAGAACTTCGTTCATCGCTACACAGAACTTGTAAGTAGTAATGGCAAAATGTTACCTTATTCAAACAACGATGAGCATCAAGCACTGACTTTAGGTTCAACATCGGCTCACCCATTCCCATGAAAACCACATTTGTCACCCTGTGCTTGAACACGTCCTCTATAGCCAACACCTACACATTTAACATCACACTTGAATACACAAGCCACACCTAGATAAAGCTAGATGTAAAAAAAACATTTTACTTAAGATATTATCTTGGAACCAAAACACCAACTCATGATTCTGTAATATGCTCTCTTTTCGTTATCATTCCATAAGAATCTTCCTTTGAATATAATGATTTCACCTAAACCATTAGCTGCAGAAAACAAGAGGTAGCATAGAACTAAACCTGCTCAATAATTTCATGCCTCTTAAGATTTCTTGAAAACCCTCCTTTTCCCGTTGCACAGAACGAGCAACGCAGTGGACATCCTACCTAAAGCAGAGCTTAAAGACATCAGTTCAAAACTCAATTATGCAAAGCCAAAAAAACAAATACAAATCTCTAACAACAAGAAAGTCAGATTCACCTGGGAAGAGACACAGGCGGTGAGTCGCGTTATGCCCTTCTCTTCCTGGACCGGTATACCAACAGTTTCGATCAATAGGTTATCTTCAAGCTTTAGCAGCAGCTGCAAGAAGACAAAACATTGGAAACCGTACAACACTAATCAAACAAAAACTCTATTGCTAAAAGGTTGTAAATTTAGTTGAAATACCTTAATGGTACCATCAGTTGCAGTGACAGTTTGGTAAATGGGTGATCTTCCAACCTTAAATCCACCTTCCACGAGCTCTTTTCGAAACGTTTGTGGCACTTTTAAGCATCATCAAAATTGAATCTTTGGTTAATCATTTGCATAACAAATGTCAAGGAAGCCTATATAACTCGTCTAAATTGCTCACAAGTGCTAAAGTCTTCGACTTCTTTAACTTTCCTCTTGTAGATGAGATGATGGAGCTGCTTCCCTCTGTAGCCTTCCTGCAAAACCAGAAAAATTCTCTCAGCTCAAACAAACCCAGATTTTTCATTGTTTTCAACTCCTAATCTGCAAAAATTGGATCTTTACTTGACCGAGTTTGATAGCGAGCTGCTGAAGCTCCGGCTCCGACATTCCGAGGAGAACCTGCGAGTCCACGTGCGGAGCACGCACCGGTTTGACGGAGGTAGGTTTCGGAGACGGTACGGCGGTTGTGGCGGTGGAGATTGCGGCGGCGGCGGCGGTGGAGAGGGAGTGACGCCGCACTACCATCATGCGCGAGATGGGAACAGAGAAGACGAGGTTTTGAAGCATAGCCATGGTGTTGGTTGTAGTCATCATAGCTCCGACGATCACTCAGAAGTCGGAACAAGACACAGTTCAAGTAAAAACCTTTCGTTCTGCGGCTAAAACCTCTCTCTCTGCAACAAACAAAACAAGTCGACTTGTTTTTGCTCACTGAGCGGATAAGCTGAAAAAACGCCACACAGTTCGATTGGAGAAGCAAGAACCGGCACGCGTTCTTCAAATTAAATGTCTCTTGACTTGCATTTCACTAAAACTCGAATTCGCGTTCTTTAACCGTAATCGGAGAATTTTGACCGAATTAGACCAAAACCTACACACTATTGTAAATTACAGCAGCCAATAAAAGTCGAATAACCAGTTGTGGTATTCTTTACATCACTGGTTATAGTTCTAGTATGTTCACTTGTATCATTGAAAAAAAATTGATTCCAAAACTGGAGATATAAGGAAAATCTCTGCACATCAAATGATTTCATGAACAAAAATACAACAGCGGTTACAACACAACAACAAAAAATTGCCTATACTTCACTCAATATCACAGCACATGAGGAAGCCTAAAAGGCTAAACACATGTTCTCTAAGGTTGGGTATGGGACATGTACCCCCAAATTTATCCATTATCAAGTCTCGACCTGCACGGTTTGTCCATAACCGTATTCAACCCGTCCGAAACGGATTTTCGCAGTTAGAAGTACTAGCCGGGACAAATGATCAGTCACCAAATTATCCAGCTTGACCAGTTTTGCAAATCTCAAAAAGGGCTTAGTCCCGGTCAGTGCCTGCCAAAATGTTTTTGTTTAAACCGTTTTTCTGGTAACTTAACCGGATCGGGCTGAGTCGGTTTTCCCAAGTTGTCCTGAAGTTGTTGCAAGGCACGGACGACTTGGTCCATGGTCGGGCGCGACTTGGGTTCGAACGAGAGACACTGAACCGCAATGCTGGCCAATCGCACTGCCTCTTCCGGTAGGTACTGCGTGTCAAGCCGAGCGTCCACGATTTGGAGAACCTTGCGTTTGCTTGTGAGGTACGGTCGAGCCCATTCCACTAGGTTCTCTTCTTTAGCCGGCCTGTTATGGTCCAAAGCTTGCTTCCCCGATAAAATCTCTAATAGCACCACACCGAAACTGTACACATCGCTTCTTGCATTCAAGTGACCTGAAAAGGATATAAGAATAGAAAGAGAGATGAGACAAATGATTCAAACCATATGCTCTGATTAGCCTAGTCATTATAAATCGTTTATACCTGATGACATATACTCAGGAGCCGCGTAGCCATATGTACCCATAACCCTTGTACTAACATAGCTTAGATCACCTTCTGGACCGTCCCTAGCTAACCCAAAGTCAGAGAGTTTTCCATTATAGTCCTGTTAAATGGAAACAAAGTCAAATCAGTAAAAGTCCTTTAAAGAATAAGTGAGAGAAATCTAATTCCTTTGAAAATGTTACTTACTGCATCAAGCAGAATGTTGGAGGCTTTAATGTCTCGGTATATGACTTTGACAGGGTCACTGTGAAGAAAAGCAAGACCCTTTGCTGCATCAAGCGCAACCTTTATCCGTAGAAACCATGGGAGAGGCTTAAAATATGCACCTCCTGCTTCAAAAACCAGTTTCATTAATATGAACAGAAAAAAAAAAACAGAGATTTGAATCAAGAAAAGATGATATAGGGGACTCACTTCTGAAGAGATGATTCTCGAGACTTCCTTTTTGCATAAACTCGTAGACAAGAAGGTGGTGTTCATCCTCTAAGCAATAACCGACCAGTTTCACTAGATTCGGGTGACTCAATCTTCCCAAGTAGTTGATCTCTGTCTGAATTACAAACACAATACAACCAAATCAGATACAAACACGCATACGCATAACACAAAGTTTGAGGAAGTGAACACTGTACCAGCCATTCACGGTGACCTTGAAAACCTTCTTGGTTAAGCTTTTTAACGGCGATGACCAAACCGGTTCCAGGTCTGGTCGGAGTGAGATTGGTTTCATCCAACCAGCCTTTAAAGACACAGCCGAAGCCACCTTCTCCGATCACACTGTCCGGTCTGAAGTTTCTGGTGGCGAGTTTGAGCTCGTTGAAGCTGAAACTCTTGACTGTCGTCGAATCGATTATCTCCCCTTCCGTCTTCTGAGCCGCCGCTACAGTCGACGACGATTTCCGGCTCGAGATGCTTATACCGTACAGATCGCTACTCTTACCTACACATATGTTCACCAAATTCAAAAACTGGAGCAAAATCAAAATTGAAAATTTCTTTCTTTTTTTTGGGGTCAAACCCATCAATCGTGATTACAATAACAGAGAGATGATGAAAAATCTGGGTGGAAGAAACGAAGAGAGTGAGAAAATTGATGGTACCATTGTGGAAAAGGTTATCGGCTTTGACTCGAGAACTGAAGCAAGAACCCATCAGCCTAGAACAGATTCTTTATCCTATTTTTGATTCTTGATCGTTCTTCTTCTTCAGCTGCTTGAGCTCAATATATGGTTTGCGAGCACAGGAGAAAGAGGAATTATAGAAACTTTCGACCCACAGGGGCAAAATAATAAAAGAGAGAGAGAGAGAGAGAGAGAGAGAGAGAGAGATGTGAACAGAGATGGCAGAGCGAAGAAGAAGATGAAGAATTGAGAGAAGGGTTGGTGTTTAATGAGATGCACGAGGGATGACCGAAGAAAGAATTGTCTCTTTGTCTCTCCGTCTCTGTGTGAAAGAAAGTCAAACAAATGGACACAAAAAAGCATAATTTGGCCAAAAGATAAAAAGTCGTTGGATTCTATATTTGATACAAGTGATGATATTGTGACCCATTTTTTTAAAAAGTTCTACAAAATCTTTTGGCAATATCCTCCTAAAGAATAATTTTTCAGGAAACTGAAAGAAGGGAAATTATATCACAGTAAAATTACTGGTTTTGGGTGCTTCTTTTGATTACCGTCAGAAATCTGAAAGATTACCATTTACGGGACGACAAACAAACACAGAAACACGACGATCTATTTGTTTTCGTAACAAAATATTTATTGTGTTCGGTATTATGTAAACCATTAATCATTAGGCACCAATTTGAAAATCGAGATGTTTCTTCTAGTACGGAACTTTATTCTTGATGCAAAAGAATTTTTACATACGAGATAATTGACCCAAGCTTTCAGGTTTCTTCCCTATAATAGATATGAATTCAAATGATATAACAAAAGTCATAATCACGAATGTATTAAAATAATATAGGTTTGACTTGGGTGGTAGGTTTTGTACAGATTATGAATCGCGTATTGTTTTAGACGTCGCTGTCTGTTTGGTATTACTTAGACTTTTTTTTTTTTCGTAAATCGATCAAAATCCATGTTTTCTTAAGAAGATTATTTTTTTCCTCTAAATATATTTTGGGTTGGACAATCTTGACGTACGGAGGTACTACGTGGTCTTGCCGTGTCTTCCACATATAACTAGAAACTTTTTGCCTAAAAAGTTACCATTTGTTCCGATTATAGTGGCTATAAGTCAATAACCCCATCTACGTTTCCTCTGTTTGAGAAATTATTCTGTTTTTTTTTTCCTCGTACATGAGATTTGTTTTCTATGGTCACTAATTACGATATCGTATCAGATTAGAAAAATAAATCGATATTTGTTTTGTCACAAAAATAAAATTGACATCTCCATTGTTGCGGCAGCGTTTCAAACAGTTAATTTCAAAAGCTATTAAACCTGATATCCGTACATGTATTAGTATCGGTGAGTATGTGTCTCTCTATTCATATTTCAACTTCTAACAAGTATCAAAAGTTTTGACACATTTAAAACTTTCTATCCTAAATTGGCAATAACGGAAAATGAGGAGGGCATTTACCCAAAATATGAGCACAGGTAAAATATTTTGGTCTTCAAAGCCCAAGCTTTGGGTTGTGTGTTGTGACTATGACTGTGTCAGGCAAATAATATGACCTCAGGCCCGCAAGAGCCCATAAGTTATAAAAGCCCATTAATGTTTTTTTTTTGGTTAAAGATTTTCGAATTAATTATAAAAAAAGTTGTCCGAGTCAGCATAATGAAAACGTTAAAGCCGCCTTAACTTCGTCCCCAAGCCAAACCAATTAATTTCTCGATTGTCCGCTACGCTCCTTTCAATTACCTGTTGTACCCTTTTTTTATCATCTCTCTGTTAAAAGAAGTTACGTATTTCGTTAGTTTATTGGTTAACATTCTCCACCTAACGAATATTAGCGTAGACTCCGTCTTGGTTCACTTTTCTGTTTTTATATATTATTATCGGTTCGTTAGAACTTGAAAAACGACCTCAAATGGTATTATTTCAGTTTATTTAAGGGTATGTTTGTCATTTACACACGACTAATATATTTATCCACCTTCGCTTCATCTTCCTTTTCGCCTATCTTCCTGGATTTTTCTCCTCTACAACCTTCAAGCTCTCTCTCCTCTCTCTCACATTTGTATATAATCACACAAGACTCGTGAAAGAGGACGAAACGCGTTTTTTTGTACGGATTCAATTCAATATTTCAATTTCATGGAAATGGATCGCTCAGTGTGATTAAATTTCGCCTAAGCTCTGATTTGTCTCTCTCGATTTCCGACGATAGTGTTTGAGTTTGGTACCGAGAGATTTGGGAGCGATGGGGATGGACTTGAGGGTTGTTCCGACGGAGGAATGGTGGGACCGAGGGAGCCACGACGGTGAGCGTGACCTAGGGCTAATGGTTACAGATTTTCTGGAGACGGGCGGTGGTGGGAGCGGTGGCGCTGCTGCGGCTGATCCCTATTGCAGCAGCGACAGCGATTCTGGATTTCCGGATCCTTCTTACCTTTCCGATAAGATTCAGGTACAATCGCACGATTTGATTGATCTAATTTCCTGGAATTTCTACAGTGTTCCTCTATGAATTGGGATAACTACTTGATGAGACTCTCTATGATTATAGTTTCCTACCTTATATGTTGATTGCTATGACTAGTATTATATAGAACGAGGTTAGCGATGGACATAGGAGACTGAATATAGAGAACAAAGTCTATTTAGAAAGTTTTAGATTTCTAATTTTGTGTGATTGAGTTTCGTTTTGGTTCTTGATCAATGAACACAAAATTCCAAATACAATTTCCCCTCGTGTTGTATTCTTGTTCGCTACTCGGAACAAAAGTATCTCAGAGATTATCATGAATTTGTTCGAATGGTAGTATATAGTTGCTATCTGAAGCATACTTTATCATCAACATTTCAAAGATTGAGACGAAGCTTTTCGGTTTCTAAGGTGGGGAATCACTTATATAGACAAATTGTTTTGTACCTGCAGTTTCTCAAGTACTCTATGCCTCAGCACGAAACAGAGGTTCTCTCGGCGGTTCGTACCCTGATGCTTACGATTAAGGAGAAAGATCTTCACTCTGTGAAATCCGGCACATGTAACGCTAGTTGCATCAGGTTTTATCTCGCGAAGCTCTTGAGACTTTCCGGATATAATGCTGCTGTTTGTTCAGCAAAATGGCAAGGCGGTGGCAAAGTTCCTGGTGGTAAGCTTTCGCCTCTAGACTCTCCCGCCTTATGTGTTTCTACATATAAAAAATTCTTGAAGATTGATATGATTATGTTGTTTTTTTCATGAAAAAATTGCAGGAGACAATGAATACATAGATATCATACTGAGTGACATTGGTGCTGGGCAAGACGACCGTTTGATTGTCGACATTGATTTCAGAAGTCACTTTGAGATCGCTCGAGCCGTGGATTCTTACCAGCGGATAATGGAATCACTCCCAGTGGTCTACGTAGGAACGGTTGCAAGACTGAACCAGTTCCTACAAGTAATGGTTGATGCAGCTAAATTCTCCTTGAAGCAGAACTCAATGCCGTTGCCTCCATGGAGATCGCTGAACTACCTGCAATCCAAATGGCTTTCGCCGCACAAGAGGCATCTCGGACCAATCAACCAAGAAGGTCCCGGAATGTTCTCGCCGGGGTTGCACAGACAGTGTGCTGAGAATTTGATGAGGCTTCAGTCTACTCTCCACGCCGAACAAGAGGCCGAGAGGTTCATGAAGAAGAAGAGCGCTTTTAGCCGCAGGGTCAAACCGGAGAGGATGAGGATTCATGGTGCTCGTGCTCCTTGAGGTTTGTACAGATGATTTTTTGGGGGGTGCTAAAGAGGCCAAAGAATTTTGCTCTGTTGAGTTTTTTTTCTTTTCGAGTGTAATATTTTTGCGGCTGAGTCTTTTTATATACGGATTCACTTTGGGGTTGCAATAATACTAGCCAAGGTTGTAGGCTTTATTCGAAGAAGATATAAAATACGAAAAGTAATACGTCAGGTTCCATTATAGTTTCTTAAGTTGTATGTTTCGCCATTGGGAGAGTTTGTTCGTTCTACATATTTTTCTATGTTGGTGGTTTTTTTTTTTTTTTTTTTTTTCTGTTATCGTTTGTTGGATTAGAGGAATAATACAATAAACAAATCATTGTTATGATCATTTTTTCAATATCAAACCAACATGGTATACGCATGCTTTCTAGTTCAGTCGATTATTTTTAATTATGGACAATCTATTATGGAGACAATTGATTGGTAGATGACATATGATCTACCTCTTTTACAAAGCAAAATCTATTGTGTACATATATTTGTATTTTTTTAAAATTACATATATATTTTTGTATTATACTCTCTCCATTTTACAAAAAAGTCTCGTTTAATATTTGTTTCTTTTCTTCTTTCTTTTCAATGTAAAATTTAAAGTGAAATCTAATTTTGATTCCATTATTTTAATGTGTTAATTACTTAGTTAGAGAGAGAATTTTTTTATAATAATATATTTTTTTAATACATGTGAAAAACTTTCAAATAACATTATTTTGTTTTGAGTATCATTCAAATTTGTTCACAATTTTTTTCCGACCGGTTCTTGTAGTTGTATACAACATCACATTTCAGAATTTTACATAGAAATAAAATTTCATATGCCTACCAGTTACATTTAGTAAAAATCATAAAACTTTTAATACCATTGTTCACAATTTCTTTCCAATTGGTATTATATCATTTAATGTTCACGATTTTTTTCTACCGATTCTTGTATATAACATTACAATCTAGAATCTTACATTGAATAAAATTCGATGTGCTTACCATCAACATTATTTTTACTTAAAAGATAAAAATCATGACTTTTAATACCAGTGTTAAAAGTCCAAAAAATGTTGATCATCGTTATTTAGTATAAATAGTTAAATACACACATATTCTTAGTTTAATGATATCATTATTCAAAGTTCAAATGCTTTCTTCCAAACAAAGATAATGCCAGAACGTCACCGTTTTTCCCTCCCGTTTCACTCCTCCTTGTCTCCACCTTGATCTTCCATGCTTTAACTTCCGCTATAAGTAATATCTATGGTACAAAAGAAACCTTCCACCGCCGCAAAAAGTGGTAGACTTCATCAAAACAAATACCATTTTCGATGCTGTCAAGATCTTTGATGCGAATCCTGACATCTTTTGAGTCCTAGTAGGAACAGGACTCGACGTCACCATTATGGTTCTCGGGGGTGGCCCGAGTTGAAAATGCTCTTTAATGAGTCGCTGCCAATGCCTTGCCTTTTCACCAGCAGATCAAGATCAAATACATGTGTGCTGGAAACGAGATTATTTACAATAATGACAATAACTTGATCTCAAATCTTCTACCTGCGATGCAAAGTTTTAACAATGCTTCGAAAGCTTCCGGTCTTTCAAATATGAAGGTCAGTTTCAACTCACTATGATATCTACCAGATTGTTTGTCAACAATATATTTAATTTATGCCACTTTGAATCCATGAATGGGCTGTGAATGGGTGACGTAAGAACAATACTAACACAAACCAGTAGGTTCCATGTTTTATTTATTAGATAATAATATTTTATATATACGAACTAGCTTTAAAATACATAATTTGTTACGTAATTTGTTTCAGGTGACAACTCCAAATGGGTATACAGTAGGCTTTAACCAAAGTTAACCAAAGTGCACCAAGTGAGAGCAAATTTGCGGACAATCAAAAAGACTTTTTATGGTAATATCTTGGAGTTCCATCATTAAACCAAGTCCCCATTTATGATCACCCCTTACACTTGATGCGAGCAATACAAACTACACAATATTTGATTCGTCACTTGCTATAAGGGATGCTAACACAAAACACATATACACCAACATGTTTGACGCAGCGATGGATGCAGCTTATTCAGCAATGAAGTCTCTCGGCTGTGAAGATGTAGATATCGCCATAAGGAAAACCGGTTGGCAGGCATCTTGGTGCAAGCCTCAAAACACTGCAAACTACAATCTCAACATCATCAAATGTGCGAGGAACATAGGCACGCCTCTTATGCCCAACCGCCACATCGACATCTTCATATTTGCATTGTTCAATGAGGATGGTAAACCCACTTTATCTAAGAAAAAGAGGCTATTCAGACCGGATTTTACTCCGGTTTATGATGTTGGAGTCTTACGAGGAGGCGATGGTAAGATAATACGAAGAAGATAATATACGAGAGACTTTGTAAGATAATACGAAGAAGATAATACACATGCATCCTACGAGGAGGATCATACGAAGAAGATAATATACGAAAGTAACACGTCAGGTTCCATAATATTTTACTTAGTTGTATGTTTAGCCATTGGGAGAGTTTGCTCGTTCTACATATTTTTTTATGTTGGATATTTTTTTTTTCTCTTGATATTGTTTGTTGGATTACCAAGAATACGATAAATAAAGCACATCATTTTCTTTTCAGTTCCACTCCAATATGGTATACTTATATGCTACGAGTTATCATTTTTGATTCATTCGATTTTTAGATATGGACTATCTATTATGAAGAGACAATTGAATGGTAGAGACGTATATACCTAAAATTATCTGATACAGACAGAAAGTCCAAAATCGCTAATGGTTTACATAGGATATTCCTCATGGCATTGTTGAACTAGGTAAGAGTGAGGCGATTGGTTGTAGTTAAAGTCAATCTCAAGAGTTGGAGTATCCGATGACACTAGTATACTCTGTTGATTGGCCTGATTCTCGTACGTGCATTATGGTTTACAGTGTCATTTTTGATGGTTTATGGAAAGAAACTAACAAGTTCTTGAGCGTAGGTTAAATTTTGTTTTCAGGATAATATATTACTGATTGATGGGTGCTAGAGCACTCCATAAGAGCCTTTCTCCTCTCCATTTAGAACTAAAGACTTTGTTTTGAGCGATGGCGTGTTTGATCAGATAACAAACAAAAATTTAATAGTGATTGCTTTCTCAACAGATTGTTTTCTCTACATATGGCAGAATATCTGAGGTTTAAGATGTTTATATTTTCATTCTCTTATTTTCCATTATTCGGCATAATATAAACTTTAAGGTCAATTGTATAATTTGGTCCCTAATGCTAGATTTGTTGTCGTAAAGTTCTACACACTACATCTACATGTTATTCATTTTTTTTTTTTTTGGGAGAGACTGATATACTGTTTTAAGCAATCATCTCGCCCAGAGAGTTTCTCATCCACAAATATAATCTCCATTTACATATCCAATTATATATATTTTCTTTATTTTCAATAAGCCATGAGCTGTATATATCTAATATTTGTGTATACATAAATCTGTCTTACCCAAATTCTTTTATGACATTTAATTCCTTAATATTTTTTTCAGTTGTTAAAGATCTATTAGTATATGTGTACATATATCTTCCTCTTTTAAGCGATCATTTTGTACAATTATATGTATTATAGTATCTCCAAGATTTCTTTCTGGCAGGTTCATCTATAGAATCTTATATAGAACAAAACTCACGCTTATCATCACCAGCTAGCTTCTAAAAATGAATGTAAAATCATAAAAATTTTAATAACTGTGAATTTTATACAAAAATTGGTATAAGATCCAAAATTGTACATAAATGTAGATCATATTGATCACCATTATTTAGTATAAATACACATATCCGTAGCCTATTGTTATTATTCAAATGCTTTCTTCCAAACAGTTGAACGAAGCTATGGCCAAAACTCCATCGTTTTTCTCCCCTTTTTTACTCTTCCTTGTCTCCGCCGTGATCTTCCAACTCTCAGCTGTGACTTCCGCCATAGGCATCAACTATGGAACAATGGGGAACCTTCCACCGTCGAAACAAGTGGTAAAATTCATCAAAACAAAAACCATTTTCGATGCTGTCAAGATTTATGATGCGAATCCCGACATCCTCCAAGCCCTAGCAGGAAGTGGAATCAACGTCACCATTATGGTCCCTAACGATCGCATTCCAGCGATGGCCCAAGCTGAAAATGCTCGTCAATGGATCGCTGCTAATGTCTTGCCTTTTCACCAGCAGCTCAAGATCAAATACATTTGTGTTGGCAACGAGATTCTTATGACTGAAGACAATAACTTGATCTCAAATCTTGTACCGGCGATGCAAAGTCTTAACGATGCTTTGAAAACTTCCGGTCTCACATATATAAAGGTTAGTATCAAGTCACAATGATATCTACTATATTATTTAATTTGTCCCGTATGGTATTTTTATAAATATAGCTTCGAATTAAATAATGTCTTTGTTATTATCATAAACAAGATGTGCATGAACTTATTACTGTAGATTAATTATGTAATATATGTTTTTAGGTGACAACTCCACATGCATTTACTATAAACTATAACCATGATGCACCAAGCGAAAGCGAATTCACCGACGATCAAAAAGATTTTTTTGCTAAGATTTTGGAGTTCAATCGTCAAGCAAAGTCTCCATTCATGTTCAGCGCCTACCCTTTTTTCATGACGGACGAGAGCAATGTAAACTTCGCAATATTTGGTTCGTCACATACTCTAATGGATGCAAACACAAAGCACATATACGACAACATGTTCGATGCAGTGATGGATGCAACTTACTCAGCAATGAAGTCTCTCGGCTATGGAGACGTAGATATCGCCGTAGGGGAAACCGGTTGGCCTAGTGTTTGCGAGGCCTCATGGTGCACGCCTCAAAATGCTGCAAAATACAATCTCCACATCATCAAGCGTGGGCAGAGCATAAACACACCTCTTATGCCCAACCGCCACATCGACATCTTCATATTCGCATTGTTCAACGAGGATGGTAAACCCGGTTTACGTGAGAAAAACTGGGGGCTATTCAAACCGGATTTTACTCCTGTTTATGATGTTGGGGTCCTAAGAGGAGGCGGTGACACACCAAGCGAAAGTAAGAAGTGGTGTGTGGCGAAAAAAGAAGCGACAAACACACAGCTTCAGGCTAATATCGATTGGACGTGTAGCCAAGCAGATGTCGACTGTAAGCAAATCTCACCCGGTGGCATATGTTTTGACAACAACAACATGAAGTCACGAGCTTCCTTCATCATGAACGTTTATTACCAGAGCAAGGGCTTGTCCGAAGAAGCTTGTAATTTTAGCGGGAGCGGCACCGTCACTACTACAAATCCAAGCACTCGCTCATGCGTCATGCCAAATGGGTTAGGTGGATCGTACGTTGGAAGTACTAGCGGTACAAGTACTAGCGATTCACGTTCAGCAAGAAGGAAAGCGTGTGGGGCGAAAGAAGGCGCGACAGACGCACAGCTACAAGCTAACATTGATTATGTGTGTAGCCAACCTGGTATCGATTGTAGGGGTATCGCACCCGGTGGCATATGTTACGACAACAACAACAAGAAGACGCAAGCTTCCTTCATCATGAACGTGTATTACCAAATGAAGGGCTGCTCCGAGGAAGCTTGTGATTTCAGCGGTAGTGGCACCGTCACTTCCGTAGACCCAAGCAGGGATGCAAACAGTCCCGCATGCCCCGTTACTATAAATCCATATAATGACGCATGCGTCGCACGAAATGCGTTAAGTGGACCGTACGTGGGAAGGAGTAGTAGTGTAGGTGCATGGAGCAGAAAGAACTTGGTGACGAAATGGTGTGTGCCAAAGCCAGATACGTCAAAGGCACAACTCCAAGAAAATATTGATTTAATATGTAATACGGATGGTATGTTTTGCGAGGCGATCCTCCCTGGCGGGTATTGTGCTAATGAATCGTTGGAGACGCGAGCCGCGTTCGTGATGAGCGCTTATTTTGTGAACAGTGGTCTCGATGCGTCCGCCTGTGATACGTTCAACGGTAGCGGCATCGTCTCTACCATCAACCCAAGCACTAAGTCTTGTTTCATATCCGGTGTTCCCGGATTGGTCTGAGAAATAATGTTTCGTTTAAGCCTTTTTTTTCTTCTTTTTGTGTAATTATTTCAGAACGAACAAATTTTTGTGATTTGTTCAGGAAATATACAACACACTGTCATTTTAATTTACAAAATACAAGTATCTACTACAACTATTTTACATACCCATTAAAATAATTAAGTTCACATTTTATAACTATTTTACAAGTATCTATATACCTATCTAATGTATATGATTATTGGCCATTTAATTAAATTGTATGGAATTGGTGGATCTGTACCGTCTTTGTTTTTCGTTCGGTTCATTTGATTCTAGTTATTAAAGTAAACCTGTTCGGTTTATGGCTATAAAAATTAGGAAAAATAGATAAGTCCTAGAAAAGGAAAAAGAAAAAGAAAAATACAGTAGTTCGATAGATTGTACGAACTACAAAGTCAAACCGTATAAATATACAGAGGTATATTTGGTTTGTTTAGAAGAACCATTGGCCATTGACAAAAAAAAAAGAAGAACCATTGGCTTAAAAACTTGATATAGAACCGAACGAAACCCGCAATTAAATGGCTCAATCACCAAAAGTCAAATGGAAATGACTTAACCGGAAATTAAGCTCTGTATTATATTATGAAATTAGGGTTTGTTTGAATCACCATCTTACTCTTGACCCAAAAAAAAAAAAAAATCATCCTCTTACAGTTACAATTAGCCATACAGATTATACAGTGCTTTACACTTCACGGATTAAATCATTAATCTTTAACTTTCTTGCTTATTCTTCACGGATTCATTCGATCTCTCTTCTTCCCTCTCTCCCTCTCTCCTTTGTGGAAGCAAAACAGATCTAAAATCTGGGGAGCAGCAATGGAATTTCTGTTCACAGTCGCGGAACTCGGCCTCTCGCTGCTGCTGATCTTTATCTCCGTCGTCGTTTTCGAAGCTTGGAGAAGGAGACACAGCAACATGTACATTTACTTCCATTTCTTCGAATTCTCCGATTTGCTTTTTTTTTTTTTCTCGTTCTTGGTCTTCTGTTACTGTATCTTATCCTAATTTCTTAATTTTATTTTGGATATTCCCAGTTCTGCCGACACCGTGATTACAATCGAGGATCCGAAATCCTTAAAACAGGTATCATCTGATTCATTTCTCGTTTCGGATTAATTTTTTTTCTGGGATTTCGCTGGTGCAGTGTGGCAAAGAACGATAATAGTTAAAATCGAGCTGTTGTAGTTAGTGGAACTGATATTTCTCTTGAGAAAGGTCTTGTTTTGGCGATTTGGGTATTTGATTCGTGTTGTGTTAGTCTGTTTAGGAGGATACCTTTGACATTATGTAGGAGTTTTTTCTAATCACGTATGTGTCGAAATTAGCCCTCTTTTCACTGTTTTCGAGTGCTGAAGCTTCACATTCAGCTGTTATGAAACGCTGAATCCACACATAAATCAAACTTTATCTTCAGGTTCCCTGCCCTCATATCACCGACCCTGCAGAGAAGTATATGTCATTAATCGTTCCGGCATTTAACGAAGAGCATAGGCTTCCTGCTGCTCTCGAGGAAACAATGGAGTAAGCTTAAAAATCTTCACTTCTTTAGAGTTGCCCTCGAATTGTGTATCTGCTTCCATTCGTGAGAAGTTTGCTTCTCTTGCAAAGCAGCAGCACAGTTCTTATTTGTGCACACTACAGAGCCATAATTGTTGATTCGCCTGTGATTTGCAGTTACCTTCAAGACCGTGCATCACGGGACAAGAGTTTTTCTTATGAGGTTAATAGTTTTTCTTAGGAGTTTTCATTGTATTCTTTAAACACAATATGCATCAATGGAGTAAAAAAAAATGTTTTTTTCTCTTTGTAGGTTGTGATTGTTGATGATGGAAGTGTTGATGGAACAAAAAGAGTAGCTTTTGATTTCGTTAGGAAGTACACTGTTGACAACATAAGGGTTATACCCCTTGGGAAGAATCAAGGGAAAGGAGAAGCTATAAGAAAAGTGAGTTCAACTCGCAGCCGCGTGCAACGCTTATGTATTTATTCTATCTGACTGAGTAAGACAGTATCCTTGTCATTTCATTCTAAAAGCATAATAATTAATCGAAGCTTTCTACTTTTTTGAAAGCATTAAATAGGGAATGATGCATTCGCGTGGTGAGCTACTTCTCATGTTGGATGCCGATGGAGCAACCAAAGTAACAGACCTCGAAAAACTTGAAAACCAGGTTTGCCTAAGTTTTGGCTATTGAAAATTCGGACAATCTGGAAACTGTGTTACAAATTCCCTGAACTGCTATAGCCTCTCAGATCCATGCAGTAGCCAGAGAAGAGAGTTCAATCAGAGATCCAGCATCAAAGCAAGTGGATTTCAGAATAGGTGATGTGCTAGTATCCGCATTTGGTTCTCGTGCTCACCTTGAGGAGAAAGCTCTTGCTACAGTTAAGTTTTGCAAACATCTGTGCTAGATACAGTAACGTTCTTTGTCTACGTACACACACAGAGGTGCATGTAATGAGTGTCTTGGATTTATGTGCTAAATGACTTGAGTCTGTCGATTTCAGAGGAAATGGTATCGCAACTTTTTGATGAAAGGTTTCCATCTTGTGGTTCTGATGGCCGCTGGTTCTGGAATACGGGATACACAGGTGGCTTTTTTATTTCATTTGTTGAGTTCCTCAGAGACATGTTCTTGACCAATAACAATAGCACTAAACATCGCTTTTTTTTCACAGTGTGGCTTCAAGATGTTTACTAGAGCTGCTGCTAGAAGACTTTTCACAAACGTCCATCTGCAAAGGTATGTATAACAAACTGATGATGATGATGATGTAATGGCAGTATAAAACATCGATAAGAGTGTATTACATCTCTGCGCAGGTGGTGCTTTGATGTTGAGTTGGTGTTCCTGTGCAAGCGTTTCAATATCCCAATGCTTGAGATCTCTGTGAAGTGGTCTGAAATTCCCGGGTCTAAAGTCAGTATGTTGAGCATTCCAAACATGCTCTGGGAGCTTGCTTTGATGTCTGTGGGATACAGAACAGGAATGTGGAAGATCCATCAAACATGAGACATGTCGACTATATACATAGAACGTAGAGAGCAAGCACTTCACTCTCGGTCCATGCGAGTTAACTGCAGAGAGGATATTACTTTTGATGTCTTCTTATCACAAAGCAAAGGAAAGGTTGATGTTTTATAGAAAAACTTGTTGGGTCTTTGTTTCAATAGATGTAATAAGAATCTTAACGGGATTAGAAATCATGTGATGAAACTACTACACAGCTCTCGCTTGATTGGTTTTGATAATAACTCTTTAGACATTCCAATGACTATGCTTTGAGTTATACATCTCCTTCATGCCATGAATTAAAGATTCTCTCTCTCTTCAAGTAACTTCAGATTCATGCTAAAACGATCACCCAAATTTTATAAATTAATACACAGAAGAAATTAAGGTTTGAAAATTTAAAAATATATCGAACGATTTTACCTGTAAACCGCCAAAAAACGTGGAGTTTCATCCTCGTGGCCGGTGAAATGCCAATGGCCTCCACTGCGCTCCTCCGTATGCTCCGGGAATGTAAGAACTTCCGGTTTCTTCTTCAAATTCACGGCAGCTTGATCGTCTCAGGGCTTAAACCCCAGAACCAGCTCGTAAACGCTTATTCTCTCTTCCAAAGACCGGACCTTTCTCGCACCATCTTTGATTCAGTTCGAGACCCAGGTGTTGTCTTGTGGAATTCCATGATCAGAGGATACACGAGAGCCGGTTTGCACAGAGAAGCCCTCGAATTTTTCGGGTACATGTCAGAGGAGAAAGGTATTGATCCAGACAAGTACACTTTCACTTTCGCGTTAAAGGCCTGCGCCGGATCTTCAAACTTGGAGGAAGGTTTACGAATACATGATTTGATCTCCGAGATGGGTTTTGAGTCTGATGTGTATGTAGGGACTTCTTTGGTTGAAATGTATTGTAAAGCTGGGTACTTGATCTCTGCTAGACAAGTGTTCGATAAAATGCCTGAGAAAGATATCGTTACTTGGAACACTATGGTTTCCGGGTTGGCCCGAAATGGATGTCCCGGTGAAGCCTTGCGGTTGTTTCGCGATATGCATTTGAGCTGTGTTGACATTGATCATGTTACTCTGTACAATCTGATCCCTGCGGTTTCGAAGCTAGAGGACAACGACGTGTGCAGCTGTATTCATGGATTTGTGATTAAGAAAGGTTTTGCCTCTGCTTTCTCTAGTGGGATGATCGACATGTATTGCAAATGCGAGGATCTACATGCTGCTGAGTGCATTTTTGAGCAAGTGATGAGCAAGGATGACTCTTCATGGGGCACAATGATGGCAGCTTATGCACATAATGGGTCCTTTGAGAAGGTGTTGAAGTTGTTTGACCTGATGAGAAACTATGGTGTTAGAATGAATAAAGTAGGTGCAGCAAGTGCTCTTCAAGCTGCAGGATATGTAGGGGATTTAGAGAAAGGGGTTGCGATTCATGAATACGTAGCACAACAAGGATTGATGGGTGATGTCTCCGTTGCAACTTCTGTTGTGAGTATGTATTCCAAATGCGGTGAGTTGGAGATAGCTGAACAACTGTTTCTGAATATTAGAGATAGAGATGTTGTTTCTTGGTCTGCCATGATTGCTTCGTTTGAGCAAGAAGGTCATCACGACGATGCTCTCTCTTTGTTTAGGGATATGATGAGAGTAAATGTCAAGCCTAATGCTGTAACTTTGACGAGTGCGCTTCAGGCTTGTTCAGGAGGAATAGCTGCCTCTAGATTAGGTAAGAGCATACATTGTTATGCTATAAAGGCTAATATCGAGTCGGAGTTGGAAACTTCCACAGCGATTATCTCAATGTATGCCAAAAGTGGTCTCTTTTCTCCTGCGCTCAAAGCTTTTGAAAGACTGCCGGTTAAAGATGCTGTAGCATTCAACGCTCTAGCACAAGGGTATATAGAGATTGGTGATGCCTCTAAAGCATTTGATGTGTACAATAAGATGAAGTTACATGGAGTATGCCCAGACTCGGGAACTATGGTTGGTTTGCTTCAAACTTGTGCACTCTGTAGTGACTCTGATCGAGGTTCCTGTGTCTACGGGAAAATTATAAAGCAAAGGTTCGATTCAGAAGTTCATGTGGCACATGCTCTGATCGATATGTTAACCAAATGTGACGCCCTCGCTGCAGCACGATCCTTGTTTGACAAGCGTGGATTCGAGAAAAGTACTGTATCTTGGAATGTGATGATGAATGGGTACTTACTCCATGGCCAAGCTGAAGAGGCTATTACCGCTTTTCGTCAGATGAAGATTGAGAGATTTCAGCCAAATATAGTCACATTTGTAAACGTCTTACACGCAGCAGCACAATTAGCAGCGTTGAGAGTAGGAATGTCTGTTCAAGCCAGTCTCATCCGGTTTGGATTTGGTTCCCACACGGCCATAGGAAACAACCTAGTTGATATGTATGCGAAATGTGGAATGATCGAATTGTCCGAGAGATGCTTTTTCGAGATAAGAAACAAAGACATGGTTTCATGGAACACTATGCTCTCCGCTTACGCCGTCAATGGCTTAGCTAGCTGCGCGGTATCACTCTTCTTGTCTATGCAAGAAAACGAACTCAGACTAGACTCTGTTTCCTTTCTCAGTGTTCTTTCAGCTTGTAGACACGCGGGTTTAGTTGAAGAAGGGAAACGAATGTTCAAGGACATGGAAGAGAGACACAAGATCGAACCAGAAATTACTCGTGTATGGTTGATCTTTTAGGGAAGGCTTGTTTGTTTGATGAAGCTGTGGAAATGGTGAGGAGAATGAGAGTGAAAGCAAGTGTAGGAGTGTGGGGAGCTCTATTGAGTTGTTCAAGAATGCATTGTAATGTGTGGTTAAGTAATGCTGCATTGTGTCAGCTTGTTAAGCTTGAGCCATTAAATCCTTCTCATTATTGTCAAGACCGAAGGAGATTAGGAGATGGTAATGATGGATCACGAGTGAAGAAAATTCCTGCTTGTAGTTGGATCCAAATTTAAGAATTATTTTTGGTGACTCTTCTTGGTCATGTGTATATTACTGTATATACTAAAATCTGTAAAATGCGTGTTGACAGAAATAGGTGTATCATATATGAGATTGTTATATAATCTAATATACAGCATTGAACATCAAGGGTCCATAGCTCAGTGGTAGAGCAATTGACTGCAGATCAATAGGTCACCGGTTCGAACCCGGTTGGGCCCTTCTTTTTAATTGTTTAATTTTATTTTTGGTTTTCGAAAAACTTAATTTTTTTTAATGAGAAACTAATGGGCCGAAGAGGGCATCACTAATGGGCCGAGGCCGAAGAGGGCATCACTAATGGGCCGAAGAGAGCATTACTACTAAAACTTTTCAGGCCGTCCATTAACTATTAAACCAAATATTTTGATTAATTATAAAATTTATATCACATTTTAAAAAATTAAAAATTCCTCCAACTTTTGGTCCCAAATTATTTCATTGCTTGCTGAATGGGATTATATGATCTTTGTAGCTGAATTCCTTACAACAACACAGCTTTTTGAATGGGAGAATGTATTTCTTATTGAGGCATGGTTTTAAATTCTATACAAAAATTATTAAATTATATCATTAACTATTATATTTTTTTGGCCGTCAATTTACTACTAAAGCTTTTCTTGGCCGTCCATTAACTACTTAAACCAAATATTTAGATTAATTATAAAATTTATATCACATTTTAAAAACTTTAAAATTCCTCCAACACAGATTTTATATAAAGAAAGTTTAATCTAAACAGAATCAGAAGACAGACAGGTTAAAAGGTACAATTGGTAATTCACTTCACTTTTTTCAAAAACTCTATTCCCAAATATATTTTTTTTTTCCAAAAATCCCCATTTACTATGTTCCCTCTTCTTAGTATATAAAGGGGAAAACACAAAGAAGAGTCGTCTTCAAAATTCAATCCAGAGTGATTCCTTTCTTTCTCGCTTCTTCTTCGATCTCAATGCCTCTCTTCTCTTCTATACTTGTAGCTACACTCCGATAACATCTCCATAGCTTCACAGACATTGGATACACAGACAAGGCTTTACTCAAGAATCTCTCATCTCTTGTCTTGAAACCATTGATACTGCTCAGTATCTCTCCAGCCTCTACCCATATATACTCGGGAGCTACTGGCATAGCACAATAAATTGTACTCACCAGATTTAGACCTGCCCAGAAATGAATACCCGAAGGTGTCTCTTCTTTCTTTAACAGCTTACTCACAGACAAAGCTAGAGGGTAATTGCAAGGAACCAGCCCTAAGATTGTTTCCACAAAATCCACAAGTTCCTTTTGCTTGCTCAGCTTCTCGGGTACAAGAGATGGTCCGTGCCATGCTTCAAGAACCGCATTTACCACTACGAGTTCAGATGAAACTGGAGCAAGAAGGTTAGTAACTAGCTTCCTCACTCTTGGTTTCTCAGCGCTGTTGCTTATGAATTTCCAAGATAGTGGCTCTTTCACAGGTAAAGCACTTGTTCGATCCAGATAAGAGTTGAGTAATCTCAATTGTAGGTTGATTGGAAACTCACCCGTTGCTTTCAACTCGTTGATTAGCTGAAACACAGCATGTTCTCTCAGACAGTGCATAAAATGCTCAGGAGCTGTAGCTTTCAGTGCTTGGTCTATGGCCGAGCAAGCACCGGTCCAGTCACTTTGCAGTAGATTATGGAGAGAGAGATTAAGATATCCAAACATCTCATCCACCTGATCCGATGCAACATTCAGATCTGATAAAGCTGATTTCAGAAATATGTCATCACCACCTTCTTCATTAGCCACTACTGTCTTGCTTTTACGGGACAATACATCCCATACAGACACATACCAACGGGACATGAGTTCCCTTGCCGAGTTGTGGTTTCCTCCTTGCAAAGCACATTCAGCGTACTGATTCCAAATGCATTGTATGCCTGAGGCCTCTTCTGGTTTCTGCTTGAGAAGCTTTTCAAACCCAGATGAGAATGTTTCCTTTGGCTCATTTGGTTTCATCCTAGCTGCTAACAGTTTCAGCTCTAAGCAAGCTGGGTAGAGTTCGACTGATGCCTTCACAATGTCCCTACATTTTTCTAACTCATCAAGTGCAATCATAAACAAGGCGTGGTTCAGAGCGAATAGCCCAGCAGTTCGCTCTTGTAATCCATTTTCCGACGACTCATTGCTAGTGCAAAGTTCTTCTGAATGCATCCCTTTATCAAATAGTCTGAGAGCCATCTCCTTCAGATCGCCTGCCAAATTGGCTGAAGGCCATTCTATTTCTAGTATTTCCTTCTCCATCTCAAGTCGTTGGACAATGGAGCCAGGCAGCTTCCTGTAAATAACTAAGTACACACAACAAATCCAGAACACACATTTGTCAGAATATGTTAAGCATGTCAGAATGTGAGACATCATTGAAAAGTCAGGGTCATCAGAAACTGCTGCTGGAGCCTGAAGCTTGGATATTCTCTGGATTGCCTTTGAAACATTCCCAGAAATGCACAAAAGGTTGAACATCTGCAACAAAAGATCTAAAATGCACGCGCTGGCATGATTCTTGTCGATGGACCCAGATGCATGCTTGCAGAGCGCCGAGAGGGCAGCATCATAGGCAATTAGTTGATCGTTAAGTTGTCCTCGACTGTTGATGTACATAAGCCATATTACGTATGATCCGCTACATAGTTTGACCTGTTAAAAAAGTTATCACATACAAACCAGAATTCCATATATTAGTTTGAAAACTGTAAAACACTACGAGACACCAGTGCCACCAAGTTAGATTAATTTGACTGTATCACAATCATCACATGCGTGGCTATGTAGATGCAGGAAATATCGCGACAAGGGATAACATACCCCATAAGAAAACATGTCTCTCCCATCTGATCCTTCATATGTATAGTAGATCAGGAGATAAACAATCCAAAGAATCTCAGAAGTTGGATCACCTTCAAGACATCGTGAAAGAACAGAAAGGGCCTGAAAAAAAGAGCCACCAGAATTAGAACGAGAGCTAAATTTGATACCACACAGTATTGACAGGAATCAAACAACATTGCCTGTATCAAGCCTTCAGACTGGTCAACTTCCCGAAAGAAAATAATAAGAGCCGTTTCCATGGAATCAACAGCAGCATCTGAACCTTGTTTAAGGAGTTGCTACGAATGCACCAAGATGGTATTAAGAACATCACTAGAATAATGCGGCATGGGTCAAATCTGCAGCTAGCTATTAGCATAATTAAAGGTTGAAATAAAGAGAAAACAAAGACAAACCATCATGCTATGTTTAATCCTGAAGTATGACGAGTGTGTTCTTGGGTTTCCTAGGACCTCAATTCGACCTTCATTTTCCCTTGCGGGTATATTCTTGCGAAGCGAGTTCGAAGAGGCCAGGCAAACACTAAAGTGCTTCCACCATATCTGCCCATGTCTTTGAGCCAGAGCAGACTCGTAAGACCACGAATCAACCTTCATCGTATCCAAGCAGACAAGATAAGTTGGTGAAGGCCCCACGTCAGAAATCTGGGATCCTCTGGAAGTATTATGTTTCTTCTGATGTAAGCTTGACCCCACATTACCATCTGCAACACCAACAAATTAAGAATTCTGGAAAAGAAAATATCATTTCTAGAATTTTAATTACACATTTTCTGCCGTACCAGGAAGATCATTTAGACTTTGATGCAAACTGTCATCAGAGAAATCATTGAAATGTTGCCAAGAACATTCGTCATTATTGCACCTTCCACGTAGCTCGTACATGCAGAGAGGCCGAAAAGGGTCCATCTTCAAATTGGAGGTGTATAAGCCATTTTTCCCCCCATATACTGGAGTTTTTGTCACGCTGCTACATTGTCTATCATCGCTGTATAGGCTATATGACTTGTCTTGAAGTGTATATTCTGGTCCCAGAGACGTAATGGAAGACCCAGGGGCCTTTAGATGATTAATTGTGCTCCGAAATAAAGGGCCTGACAAAGTCACAGATGATAAAATGTCATCCTCTGGTGAAGTCCTATGGGACTCCATCTCTATAGATGGTTGAAAATTCAGCGAATTTTCCTTGATGGCGTGCTGTTCAATTGGTGGTTCAGAGGGATTTCCTTGCAGTATATTGGCGCCTGGCTCTGAAATTAAAAACAGGAAGACGTGTTAAAAGAAAAGTAAAGCACATGGAGACCACGCATTGCTATCAGCATTTTAGCTCAATCATCAACAAGAGTAGGACTTGGAAGTAAAATCAGGTTACAAAATGCCCATGCTATTTTTCGTCTTTTTAAAAGTGAATGCTCAGCCACAACATTGGACATTTCATTAAATAACTTAGAAAAATGCCAATCTACTATAAATAAATTACTTACCTCTAGAATCATTATGCTGATTGTTTTCTGAGACGGGACTACTGCCATCTCTCTGGGTTCGTTCACTTGCAACATCACTTTCATCCCCTCTGTCTATCACAGTCTCTCCATTGGAACATGTGCCACCTCTGGATTCTCCCCTGGTACCTAGACGCTCAAATAATTTAGATCTTAATGATGCTTCGATAAGCAAAGATTCCTGATTGCCTAGTGTTTGCTCAAGATTTTCTGCTTGGTGTCCAAGGTTCCCCTCGGTAGATTCATGGTCCACTGGAAATGACTCGTCATCTGGCAAAATGTTTGTATCACTTGACGGGGAGCATAGTCTAGTTGCAATTTGCTTGTTACTGCAACGCAATCCATCCGAGGTACTAGCATCAAGATCACTGCACTGTTCTGAACCCATATTCTGACCACTTGGGGAACGAGGTAGAGGATGACTGCCACCATACTCATTGTTATATCTGTGGTTACTTTCTAGCTGGGTATGCTGAGGGATGTCAGCTTTGGCTGCCAAATCAATGTTTTCAGTGCCATTATTCAAGAAGTGAAACCCAGTTTCGGGGTGCTCTCGATGTGCAGAAGGCCATAACAATCCGGTGTCGCGGACAATGAGAGATCCATAGTGAGCAGATAAACTTTCTCTCTTACTGTAAAGTTGAGCACATCTGGCATTTGCTTCGATCAAAGATCTTTGTGCCTTTCTATAAACCTTGAGAGCATTTCTTTCTTCAATTTCACAAAGGCGTTTACGTTCTTGTGCTTCCTCCAAATCTCTGTCAAGAGATTCCTCTAGGTTCGTCAAAGATAGCATATCCAGTTGACTATGTCCAGGAGCAGTTGTATTTCCCGGGATGTTCCAGAGGCCATAATTGTTCGAAGAAGGCTAAATTGCAAGCAGAAACAACAACAACAAAAAAAAAGTGAGGATCATGAAATCCTACCAACCGCCTCCAACTTGTTTTTATAAGGATCTAGAAAAAACCTGATGGTGTCCATTGACTATTTTGAGCAACTGGTCACTAGACACGCTGCTATCAACATTTTTCACTGTTTCCAGTTCTCTCGAAGTTCTATGAACAGGATGTTCTGTCGGGCCACGTCTTACACCTTCGTCATGAATTGGTTTGCTCTGGAATAAAAAGAAAATACGCTTAAATTGACAAATACACTAGCCCAAAACTAGACAAAGTTTAATAGTCTTTAGTCTTAGAGTCAATTATTTCAATTCTAGTAAAGGAGAGAATACAAAAGGATGGTAACACGTACTGCGCTTATTTGTAAGACACTTGAGCTTGTATTTCCTTCTACAATATGCTGAGAAATAACAGGCGGAACAATCCCACCACTGTTACTACCAAGGTCTTTGCAAGTAGCATTTGGATTGATACCTACAGAAAACACCACTGTCAGGTGATGTGGGGAAAAATCAAAACACTGAATAACTTTACAAAGATAGATTTCTAGTGAAACCTTTAGCTTGCCTTTAGTCTCACCTGGCAGTAGATTGTTACTGATGCCTGGCGCTTTCGTTGATGCACCAGTAGATGCTGGGACTCTGTAATCAATACCAGGCTGGCTTGGGTCATTTCCACTAATTCTTACGCGCTTCTTGGCAGGTTCATTTGATTCTAGCTGTTTACCATCATCAGAAACCATACTGAGTCTCTTTGTTGGACTGATTTTTGGGTTAACAGCATCCTTCTTTGGCTGTGCTGCCTTCAGTTTCAGCTCACTTTCCCGTCGTGCAATCTGCTGCCTCAAATCATGAACTTTGTTGCTATTGGTCCCCACAATCTGTTCAGGACGAGGTGCATCTTTGCTAACCTTCCTTTCATAGGTATAGATATTTTTCTTGGATTTCATTTCCTTGGCAAGTGAAATGTTGGAAACTTTGGAGGCCGCGGCATGAGTGAAGGTGCTAGTAAACGATGCCTTCTTTGTTACTGCTGTGTTACCAACTTGTCTTGGTCCTTGCAATTTTGTTTGTAATAATGTAGACGGGTTTCTATTCCCAGTCATGGCTCCTTTCGGTTGAATCTTTGATGTCTGTGTCGGTCCTTTACTATCAGATTCACTCCCACTATCATCAGCCGAGAAGTTTATCACAAGGTTGCTGTTGCTGCCCCTTACAGGAAACTTCTTCCCATGAATGGCAGCATTAGACACCGCTTGCTTCGTCTCAATTATTCGGCCTCCAGGGTAGGTCCGCTTCAACGGTGTAGCATCAGCAGGTTTAGCTAAAGATCCACCGTTTCCTCCTGACAAGTCACAGTACAGAAAAAAAAAAACGAATTGGCATTGAGAACAGTTTCGAACGACTTCAAAGTATAATCTATATTCATATTTAAAAAATAGGCTAATCATGCTTCACATGCAACAAATTAATAACAGAAAACACATTGGTACTTTCGTACATTAATTTACAATGTGCACTGACTCTTTGCTCTAATAGTTTGCTACTGATTAAGGTCTGTGTACATATCCAACATCCTCTATTCTAGAAATATGGTGAAGCAACAGAAGATCATGTACCGATCCAAAACACTAGAAAGAGGATTTCACGTGAAGCTAAGAGATGATACAAGTCTCCTCTTGCTAAAAAATCGCCAGAGGACTTGAGAAACAAAAGAAAGACAAAGAGCCAACTGCATGAAGCAGATGACAAATAATATTTTACCAGCTTGACGCCTTTGGATATTCGTGTTTACTGAAGGAACTGATGCATGCTCGGTAAGAGGAGCTCCCGTTCTTGTTTGCATTGGCTGTACCTAAAACCAAAATTCTTAAAAGCTTTAGGGGATTCGAATTTGCTAATCAAAAGCATTGTGGCAACATAAGAACACGAAAGCTCTGAAATCTAATAATCCAACGAAAATTAGTAAGAAATAAGCCATAGAGTCTCTGAACTTCCACAGCATATACCCTAAATCCATAAACTCATTGAGAGAAAACTCTATATATGTTCACGATAGCAAATCCCGCAACAGAATCTGATAGCCATTACTTAAAATAGATTAAACAAAGTTGTCCAGATTTGCAGAATATGAAGAAGAATTAAACGAGGCATAGGTTTGTTCGGCGAAAAATAATACCTCGTCTTCGGAGGTGGAGAGCTCGCCTTCTTCTTTTCCGGTAACCGGAGCTTGCTTCCCGGTGCTTGGTGTCGTCATCTTCGCGAATGAATTCCCTACCTAAGATCTCACTTTTCCAAATCGAACGATAGTTTTGAGATTGGAAGAAGAAGAAAAGAAGATTTTTAACTCTGGATAGTGGCCGCCGATGGAACACGAGCGACACAACGGATAACGAAACGACTAAAAAAATACCCTACCACTTCGCTTCAATTTTTATTTTACGCGTTTTTCTTTCTTTTCAACTGTTAATTGTTTGTTAATCGTGTTAATTTATATTATTACTATATATCCGACTTAAAAAAAGTTTACTATATATCCCTTATATATTAAAAGAGAAACATTTTTAAAAAATAACTTTAATTTTATAAAATATTACAGTGATGTCATTTTGCTGATGTGTCATTACCATAATCATTTTCAGCAAATTTATAAAAATAGACTTATGTTACTAGATTAATTACATGTTATGCCACTCACATTAATTTGGTTATACATTATTTTATATCAATTATATTGATGATGATTCATCAAGATATTCTCTTTTTTCATTTCTTACCAAAAATATATCATATTAATTATTTCTTTAAATATTATATTTTATTTCTTATTTTTATAGAAAAATAAATCATCACATCATTCATAATTCATATAATATATATATATATATATTCTGTGTTATAATTTGAATTTCATAAAACAAATATAAATTACTCAAATGATTAATAAATAAAAGTATGTTTTAAAAGACTAAAATTAAAAATAAAGATGTGTAGATAGATGATTCATAAATCAATATAAAAATACATAAATGATAATAAAAAAACAAGAAGCTTAATTTAATAGATATTATTATTATAATTATTTTTGGTTTCATATGGTTTTAAACCATATAAATTAACCAAATAATATAAATATTTAAACTTTATAATAAGTACAAAATTTTAATAAAAAGTTGAACTATAAAAAAAATAGTTGAATATGTTAATAGAATATAATATTATAAATATTTTATTTGATTAAAAAGTGAAATATCATAAATTTTTAATTTATACAACAAAATAACTTGGTAAAAAATTAAAATATTTTTGTAAGGATATTATATAATAATTTTATTAAACTTTTTGATATTAAAAATATTTTATTGAATCATAAATTTAAGAATGTATAAGTACTGACTCAGTTATATACAATTTTAGATAATTTATTAAATAAGATATATATATAATCTATTTTTATATAATTTTTATGTATATTTAGTATTTAAAATAAATTTCACAGTAATTTTATTTTCTTAAAAGTTAATATTCTTATGACTAAACTTTTTACGGGTTAATCTAAATATGCATTTACATTCGTATAAGAAATATTAAAATCGATTATAATATCTTATAATCAAATTTTATTTTTACAATTTTAATACTCTCTATTTCAAAATATAAGTTGTTGTGCATCAAAGCACAAAGATTAAAAAGTAATTTTTCTTTTAAAAACGTAATCATTTATTATATAAATTAAATATAATTTAACTAATTATGAAAAGTTAAAAAATATAATCGGTCACATAGTATTCTTAGGAAGTAGTAAAAAAAAATGAAAACAACTATATTGTGAAACAAAACAAACTTAAAAAAAACTAATATTATGAAACAGAGAAAGTAGTAAATTTTTTTATTATTATCATAACGCATTAGATACTTAATAGTTTAATCAAAATATGCTCCCTCTATTTTTTTGAATTTTAATATCATATTATTAATCATAGATTATTAAAAATATAAAGAGCGACTTCATATTTTTATCCAGATTGCGCATATATATTTAATTTTTAAACTAATTTACATTAGTATTAAATTACCATATAATTCATAAAATAAATAAAAAAAAATATTTTGTCAATATTACAGCATATTTGTATAAATAATTCATATAAAATCAATTGTATTTTATTATATGATTTTAAAATTATACTATATTAAATAAATAATTATTATTTCACTCCGCCCAGAGTACAGATTATTACCTAGTACTATATGATTATCAAACCAACCTAATCATAAAATATGAAATTTGTTGTATGGAACTGTAACGAATATGGCATTTAAAACATATTGAAACAACTAAATTGTGCAGGATTACACAAATCATCCCTTGTGTTATAATAAACTGGCTAACTGCACCTACATGGTGCAGGTTTGCGATTCGAACCTGGCTCGGGTCCATTCTCAACGCATTGGCGACTCCTTGTTGCGATCTTGCAATGAGACTTGGCAAACTGTTACTTCTGGTCGCAGCAGACTCGTAAGATTTCAATTTAACCTCTGCAAAGTGTATACATAAGCATTCATGGCAGTTGTCTTACATTTTTTTACAGTGTCCATAATCTTTACAACGCGATTAGCTCCACTCCACACAAAAGCAATCAACCACCGTCGAAACTCCGAATCACAAACCTTCTTGCTTCGACTCTTCATCGACCCGAAGCCGCAAGAGGAGCCTCGGTTTCTTTTGGAACCATCGAGTAGGATATATTATAATGTTCAGATCTCATTGCACTTCACCAACCCATAAGTGTTTTTGTGACTCTTTCCACTATCTGATTCCTCGCTCGGAGGCTAGCCAATGGAAACTCACGGCTCTCTTCCAAAAGAAACCTATAAACTTCCCATTGTCGATCTAATGTCGAATGCCTCCCAATTTCAGCCTATCAAGAAAACACAATTCCAGTTTTTTAACAAAACGAAACAACACCAAGTTAAAAAAAAAAAAAAGCTAATGTATTAGTAATACTTACGGAGAAGATGCAGACTCCGAGTGATTTCAAGGCTAGTGTGACATCGTAGAACACTCGTGGTCTTCCTTTTCCAGATAGCTCCACAGGGTTGGCTACTAAAAGCTCCGAATCTGGTCCTCTGTTCACGATTATCACTCGCAACGGACACACCATTTCCTCTTTGAGACGAGAACAGAAGTTGGCTTGATGTTTCGGGTCCGCTATCTTCTTTCCGTCTGTGCCTCGAACAAACAAATCCAAATTCCTATATCCTTTAACCTTTGATGAGAATCTACCGTATGCAATCTGTAACAAGAAACAATTACTACATGAGTTATACAGTTTAGGTTCTCTCTTAAAGTTAAGAGAGAGATCTCAATCTTAAAACGTACATGGACGTCGCAGTCTTTGGAAGTCCTGAGAATGTCATAGAACAGACCCTTTTGATCAACACAATGAATCTGAAGCACCGTATGCGCAGGACTCAACTGATTATCAACGGTTAGAGCCACTTTGTTGGGGCTAGAGCTAACACCAGACCCATCTGAGCCAAACAGCTCGTCAGCAGTTACAGGAGAAAGCGAAGAGAACCGTTGCACGCTCTCTAACTCAGGCCCAGCTAGCTCAAGCTCACAGCTCACGCCATGTTCACCGAGCACAGCCGTTAGATGGTCACAAGTTTTGGTTTGTCTCTGTTTCGTGTGCAGCAGATCCCTGTTTGCACAACAGGAGTTAATAACTAGAGATCATTGAAACCACAACGCTAATGTTATGGAACATAAGAAGTATCAAAACTCACATTGCGTCAGTGATGAAGAACATGTCCAAAACTCTTCCGTCTGGTGTTGTCATGACTTTGACCCTTTGGATCGTAAACTCTAGCTCTGTAAGGACTTTGGTGACATCTGCAACCACCAAAGACCAAACCTTTGAATTAACCATCTAAGGAAAACACGAGAACCAGACAGGAGCAGGAGAAAGAAGAGGAACTCACCATGAAGCAATCCTTTCCTGTCGCGGCAGAAGAACTTGAGGAGATAAAGCGGAGGAGGCTTAGAGACATTGGATTGAAGAGACGAGTAGAAGGAACCCAAGCAAGATGGGCAGGCAGACAAGAGTCGGTTCTTCAAGCTGTCCCAATCGATTTTAGGAGAGCTGTTATCTGGAGTGACCCAAAACACTATGTAACACCATCGTCCATCTGTTGAAAAATCTGCAAACTCATTTTCACAATTATCAGATTACATCAATATGAAACAAAGAAATCATCTTCGCATGAGAAATTGATTTTTTTTTAAAAGTAACAACAGAATTGGATTCCGAATATTCCTGAGTATTTAAGAATCTAAGGTAACCGACAAACAGAGAATATTCATTCCCCAAGACGGGGAAACAAAACAGAAGAATACGAAGTCAAAAGAAATGAAGATTTCACCTGCTCTGGTTAAGGATAAACCGAATTCGAGGATGATTCTGCAGAGAGTAGAACCGAGACCGGATTCATCAGGGCAATTGACGGTGACGATGCTGGGATCGCCGCAGTTTTTCCCCGGCTCGATTAAAACGGCGTCGTCGTTGAGAATACCCATTTTTTAAGCTATATCACCGCTCGGGGTTTCGAGAGCCAATGAATCAAAAATTCAACGGCTGCTCCGAACAGAAGGAAGAGAGAAAAGGAGAAGAAACGACGAAGAAAACATATGAATGAAGAGAGAGATTAATTAATTTATATATTTTTTGATTTACTGGTTAATTTGGGTTGTCGGGTTGCTGAGTGGGGCCTACGTGTCTAGTCATACACACGTAAGAAGAAAAGAAAAAGCTGGGTTAGGCAATGAACACGTACCGTGTATAATCTTTTTGTAAAGAGGGTAATATCGGGATTTCAAATGTCGAACAAGCTGTACTGTGTAACTTGTAACACGACGGTCCGCAAATCTTAAGGTAGATGGATAAATTAAGATATTTTTTCTTTTGTGGGCTCGGCGGCTCGCTAATACAAAATCACGAATTGTGTGATTCACGATAAGATTATGATTAATTGTGGGATTTTCCTAATAATAAACGTGTGGTGGGAACTAAGTATTTCTATTTTTAATTCACTAACTTGTGTTTTAGTTCATGTTGAGGAAAAGATGTATATAAACCACAGGAAAAAGAAATTAAATTTGAAAAAAAAAAATTAGAATAAAAAAAATAGAATGACACCTGCGGATCAAAATGAATATTGATAGGAGTTGGAGTGTAATTTCAGATTTTTTTTGTATTTGGGATGGCAATGTTTTTCGAAGAGGATTTGTTTGTTCTCGATGCTAATAACATGAGCTCACATGAGAGAGAGAGAACATATGCAACTTGGTCGAAGTTTGTTTTGGGACGATAGAAAGTTTATATTTTCGAAGAATATTATTTGACGTCCAAATCAGAATGAGATCATGCCTTGTAGTAAGAAAATGTGAAATCGGATCATCAGCAATATAAAGAGAAGTTGATTCTGAACCGAGCTAAGAAATACTTTTGCTGTTGAAGTAAGAAATATTGTTTGTGAGCTTAGCGCATGAGATAAGATGGCCAAAAACAGATGAAATGCTTGTGGAAGGAGATTGTAGCTGTAAGTACTATGAGTTCGAAGAATATAAGTGAATGCTTTGAAATCAAATGATGGTGATTTTAGCAGAACTTTTTTAATTCCAATATCCATCCCCTCGTCGTGCATGCAGTGAAAGAGCTTTTTATTTATAGAAACTATCTAACATGGGTTTATTCCGGTTCTGGTTACCCACCCGTGGAGCGTCGATAATTTACCCCAAAATTGGTTAGAACATCCAAATACATTTTCAATATCAAATGCATCGAAAATCAAACTTATGACTGATGAGACCAACGACAAAAGCTTGCAAATTGTTTGGATGGTCTGTTCAGGCATGGAAAGAAGCGAATCTGAGTCAAGTAGATAACGCTTTTCGATGCATTAAAGATGGAAAGAAGAAATTTCTGACTCCAAGAAGAATTCAAGAAAAATACTAATGATTTGAAGGAACTAAAAAGAAAATGGGATATCAATATATCAATGCCTACGTAAATGTGTGATTGGTTGAAGGAAGAGGCTGTATATAATAGTGTTGAAGATGCAGAAACATCAGGAAATTATTGAAGCGGAGTCTCACTGACACTCCGATTTGGTGAAACTCTCTTTCCTCTCTGTCCTCTGACTTTGGCAAATCTCACTCGGGAGCATATGTGCGTCACATGGGTTAAGGCCTTTAAGTGCTATTCCATATTTGAAAGGGAAACTATTTGAAGATAAATGTAAACCCTTTCTTTTTTTTTTTTTTTAGTAAGAGAGAGTAGTCCCCTAAATTACAAGACTACAAATTCGAAATTTTCTAAAAAGAGAAATGGTCAGCCGTGGCTTTCATCAAGGGTAAAATTTCGTAATCATTGATTCTAAAAAGATGTTATATAGCCCAAGTTTCCTTTAAACAAAAGAGCGAAGTTTCACTTTCACACTTGGCGCTTTATATATATAACATTTCATTTTTGGAATTTAATTTATTTTCACACTCTCTGCTTTTCTTATTCACTTAAATCTGGTTTCTTCTCTGCAAAAAAAAAAAAAACACTTTTTTTTCCTCAGAATCTCAAACAACCCTTATCATTTTCGTTCCTTCTGCATTTCACATTTGACTATTAGTTGTTTATGATTGATTCAGGGATTTGATTTGTGCAAAAAAGGCGTTATCTTTGTGTTGGCTTATAAGGATGAACAAGAGATGTGAATCTTATCTGGAGGAAGAAAGATGAGATCTTTAAGCAGTGTGGGACTTGCTCTAAGCATAGTCTTTGGTTGCTTACTATTAGCTCTTCTCGCTGAGCTCTACTACTTGCTCTGGTGTAAGAAGAGGACGACGGCGAGACCTAATCTTCGAAATGACTATTCTACCCCTGCAACCAGAGAGCTTCTCTTCATCTTCTGCTGCAGCACAAACCCTTCTTCGTCTTCTCCTTCTTCTTCGTTCTCTAACCCCAAACCCATTGAAACTCAACAGCAATGTAATCCTGATGGTGAGTTTGCGAATGCGGTGGGTCCAGGGCTTGTGCCGAGGTTTCTGTTCACAATCATGGAGGAAACAGTGGAGGAAATGGAATCTGAAGATGGTGTTTCCACAAAAGGAAAAAGCTTGAATGATTTGTTTCTTAATATGGAAAGTGGTTCAACTCCTCCGTATCTTACTCCTCGTGCTTCTCCTTCGTTGTTCACGCCTCCTTTCACTCCATTAACGGAGTCTTGTAATGGCAGAAGCTTCTTCGAGTCGTCGACTGATGCTGAGTTTAACAGGCTAGTGAGATCATCGCCGTTGTCATCACATTCCCCATCATCGCCATCATCGTCTTCATCGCCTTTGCCGAGATTCAAGTTCCTAAGAGACGCAGAGGAGAAGCTTTACAAGAGGAAAGTGCTGGAGGTTGCAGAAGCTGAGGAAATCAAGAAGGGCTAAATTGGTAAAAACAGAGTTTAAGAAACAGATTTTTGAAGATGAAGTTTCACTCAAGAAGATGACAGAAAGGTGGTCCAAAATCATCGAGTGTCAAATCTTAATACACAATTGAAATTAGCAAAACTTTGATTCTGCTAAATCTTCTTCTTTGGATTTTAACTGTCTTTGTAAATCTAATTTAGCGTCTTGGCTCCATACGCTGCCATAATCATCAACATTTTTTTTGGTCTGAATGTTTTTAGGCTCGTCCTCGTATGAAACCGGTTGTATAAATAATCTGCTTAGCCAAATTTGTGAATTTTTAAAAATAAAATCATGGTTTTTAGATTAAGAATGAAAAATGAGCCTTGGATTCTATTTTCTTTTATCATAGTTGCCACACTGTTGTAGTTGACATTTAAAAGATGCACGAACTCAGCATTTTACTCCTACACCGACTTTCACTTTTAAAAAGAATTAATACTGAACGAATGTTAATATTTTATCGAATATGGGAGTTACAAAGGTAAACAGAACACGTGAAGAGAAAAGTAAAGAATTAGTAGTATCTAATTTATTTATTTTTCGAGATCATTCGCATCGAAACAATACAGTAAGAATATATATCTCCCTTTTTTCTACGGCATTGAAAACTTTGAACATCGACCGATAAATTGGCATAATACGATAAATGAATAGAGACAAGACTCATGAGAGACCCAAGTGGGGAATCTCTTTCCCCTTCAGGATTTTGTCCCAATCTGCTTCAGTTTATGTCTGATACTTTTTTTATTATCCAAGTCGCGTCAAGAATTAACACATGAAATTTCAAAATTACCTCTTCTAGTCACACAACTTGCATGATTCTGCAATCCAATGATGAAAATATAACACACATCCAGTATTGTTTTGTTTTGTTTTTGTCTACAATAATTTATTGGGATTTTGGCACTGTTCAATATAATTGAATGTTCAGAGGAAATGGGCCTTCTGCAATGTTAATATAAATGTTACAGTGGTAACTTTGGATCAATAAAAAATAATAATGTTACAGTGGTGGTGATATAAGAATGTAACTTTGAGGGAAAAACCTAAACATTAGATTCCCGAGGCTGCAAGCAGTGGTAACCCAAGCTCAGGGCATAGAGGACTCAAGCCCGGTTCCTCCAAGAGACTAAAAGCCGTGTAACCGTAGTATGAATGATACAGATCCGGTAAAGCTCTAGGAAACTTACTGAACCCACCGTACTGGTCACAACAACGCATGAAGCAACACAACATTAATCACATTGTTGAATCCAAGATGTAAAACATGAATCAAGACAATGTACCAAATCCTCCTAGCAGGACATACACCCATATTTGCTCTTATGGTTAAGATGAGACATTGAAGGAGAAGTACCTTGGACTGACAAGTCAGTAGAAATTGGCGCAGAGCAACTTTGTCGATCAATGCATCTGCTCCTAAGAGTTTAAGGACAGCTCCAATCCTACACCGCATGCGCAAGGCCCGTATCAGCAGGTGGGAACAAACAGAGTCAGTGACAGTAAAAAAGATGAAGGGACTCACCAAAATGCATAGCATGTGTCGCTCCGCTTGTTAGTCCTACCTTGAAACCCACCATCACTGGCTTGTCTCTATAGGCAAATAAACAAAAACCGTCAGGAGCATTACGAAACTATAATTGTAATATTATCAGGTAAGTTTAACAGGCAAACAGAGTTAATGAAATGATACCTGCAGGCACCAGTTGAGAAGCAAAGAAGAGTCTATTATTGAATGGCCTGAACCATTTGACAACAGATCATCATCTCCAATGAACCCCATCAATCGAAGAGATGCAATAGCACAGTAAGTACCACCACCTGCATAACTAAGTTGCAAAGCGTAGGTAAGCATCATAAACGAGTAGCAAATTTATTATCTTTTCGTCTTCTTATTGACTGATTTGACTAAACTCAATGACAATTTCTAGCCGATTGACACAAAAATATGTGCTACTTACGTGAACTTTACATGGACAAAATCAAGTTAAAGATTATAGAAGAATTGTTTTTCAACTCACCATGAGACTCAGAACCAGGGATCAAACCAAAGCCACCATCATATGACTGCACAAGGAATGTCATTTCAACACAGACACTAACACGCAAACACAAAGAATTTAAGGAAGAAAGATGGCAAAGCAACTGCAAGAACAGAAACAAACCTGACAATTCAATATGTAGTTCTTAGCCTTCTCCTTGTCCATTCCACCCCAATCACCCAGCATGTCACAGATTGCAGCTGTTTCCACAAAGTAAAAAAAAAAGCTAGAATAAGAAGACTCTACTAAAAAGTATAAAGCCATGGACTGTAAATCATGTTAGGTAGCTATTTTCTTACCAGCACAATATACAAAACGGAGATCCATCTCGCCTCCAGTATGGATAGGCATGAAGCTGTAGCAAAACGAACAAAGCAAGTAAGGAAAGATTATTTTCAGCCAAGGCTTAGAACTAAGAACTAAGTACAACAAAATTTATAAACTTATGGCAATATAAAATGCATTATGTTAAGCTTCTAAAACTAATACCTTCCATCATCCTGTTGGAGGTTTTTCATGGACAACAACAATGTTTCAGAGTCGATGGTCGAGAGGTCATGCCCAATGACCTTGAGAATGGCCAAGGCACAGTAAGTGCTTGCCAAGTGACTATTGTTGTGAGTTAAAACCTGTGCCAAAGACTAGATGTAAAGCTCACACACGCAAAGCAACGAGCATCATGTAAGATAGAAAGAAGAGACTTTTATTATTACCCTATCCTCGTCTACGGGAAACTGAGAACTCCGTGAACCGTAGAAACCGTAGAACTCGCCTGCAGCAAATATGAACACCTCATTATTCAGAAAGAAGTTCTCAATGATTCTCAGTCACTAAGCGAGCATTGATCACTGGTTGATGAAGCATATGCTCAAAAATCACGCTAAAACCATTCTAGACAAGTCATAATTCGAAAAAAAGCTACCTTTTTTCAGTGCAGCTCTGTTACTAGGCAGGGCCTGGAAGGACAAAACCCAGTTTGCAATGACATCTTTGTCAATCTTCAAAAAAACGAAATCGATATGTGAAACTCAGAAACCAATGATGAAAGTTACATAATTGAACATAACTAAATGAAATCAAGGGAAAGCAAAAACAGAGATGGAGATTAGAGAGAGAGGGAGAGAGAAATAGACGAACACGATCTCTTGCGCGAATAAAGTGGAGGCCTGAGATTATGAAGTGAGCGAGTGTGAGGCGATTGATCTCCTGCGATTGATAATGATCCGGAAGCAGCTCGTACATCATCTGCAGGTACACCAAGTGCCGATCTTTCTCGAAATTCGCCGATGACGGCGGCCAAAAAAATGATTGGGCCGTCGTCAGCTCCGGCGAAGTATCATCTTCTTCGTCATCATCGTAATCGTCTTCTTCGTCCTCAGCCTTAGATCGCTCCAAGTCGATTGTTCCTCCGTGCTCGGCGGTCTCTGACATCGCTTCTTCCTCTGTATGTGAGAGATCGGTCATCGGTCAACGACTCTCAAATCAAAACTCACTTGTGACTGACCTTTGCTTTTCCGTCGACGTTTCGGATCTGTGGTTTGCTGAACGTCAAAACAACACGGTGTCACGTCGTGTAAACGCCAAACGGCGCATTGTTATATGAGTAGTAAGTAGTAACTTTATCAATTTGCCTTTGGTTTATCTCTCAACTATCTTACAAAAAAAAAAAAAGGAATTCTACCAAATTAACATTTGCAATACAGAAATGACACGACGATTCGAATTTGGTTTATACATATATGTAACGAATTAGTGTAGTTGGTCAATATTGAACGATTTATATATAACTTAATAAATTAAGTCCGTGATTGATACTATTACTTAGCATTTAGTATATCTTGGTTCGTATAATTGATTATGGGTTGTCGTCTAGGGATGGAAGTAGCTAAGATTGTAGGGTAGATACGAAGAGCGTCATTCTTACATAAATATTTGATTCTTAAATCATAAATTTAAAAATACGACAGTTTTTGTTCTTCCCAACAATAAATAACGACGACGAAAAGATACAGTTACGGCTAGACCTGAACATTGGGCTTCGAAAACAAGATTTTGCAAGGGAACGTGATCGCAAGATTGGTCTCCAATTTCGCTTCGTTGGATTTCATTTCAATCAGAGGACTAGCGGCACATATGTAGCCAAATGTCAATCTATGGTAAACCCTTATTATGATTTTATTCTAAATATTATGAAAACAACAAATTATTTTCATATAAATGTAAATTTCGTAGTATAAGATAACAAAACTCTTGTTATTTGACGGAAACGTGTTTTCAGTTTTTAACCGCAAGATGTTCATCAAGTCCGACTGCAAGTTGTAATAAACATAAAAGTTCAACAAAACAAAAATAAAATATATAAAACAAATCGTTAGAGAAGATATAAGCGGTAATCAAGTTCATAAGAACAATTATATTGAATTCCAACATACATTTTAGCAACAACAAAAAAACAAGCTTTTGAAACAAAAGAATGAGCAACATAGATTTTATTGTGGTGAATAACTATAACTAGCTTCAGATGAGGTATTCCAACTATTCTGTATATTTAAAATTTGTATTTTATTGTAATGATTATTAAATTTTGTAATAGTTATTTTTGCATGAGATGAAAAATAAGTGATAAAATTTTATTGTTTCAAGTATGTTAAATTTGTAATTGCTAAGTTTTTAGCACAAAAGTAATATTTTGTTGATATGTTATGAGATTTGTGCTATTTAAAAGTATACATTATATATATAATGAATAAATGAATATAATACTATATTGTATCATTTTATGTTATAGTTTATACAATTGTGTAAAAAAATTAGATAATGATATATTTTGAAAAATTATTTTACTAGAGATTTTTTTTTCTAAAAAATAATAATTTTCTTATTATTAGTTGTTTGGGAAATATTTTAACTATAAGATTTAATATTATCATTTTCAAAATAATATTGTTTTGGGTAAGTTTCTAATTGTTTAAATAAAAGAAATCTAAGATGAGATTATTTTAAATGTGGTTGGTAATAAGGTATATGGAAATTAAGTAAAGAAAAAACAAAACCCTAATGAAATACTAAAATTCAGTGGCATTGTAATAACACATGTTTTGTGTTTAAACATCTTTTAAGTGTTCCTAAACTAGTAGTAAAAGAGAAAGAAAGACTCTTTTTTTGTTGCTTGAAGGAAAAAGAATTGTTCGGACTAATTTTTCCTAAATAAAAGAAAGAAAGACTCTTTTTTATTTGTTGTTGTGCTTAAGTAGAAAGGAGGAAAGAAAGTTTGTCATTTTGCGATTGAGAAAAGCGAAGATGGGCGAGAAGGAGACGACGATCATTGCAGTACATGATCTCCAATACATGTAAATGGCGGCATAGCTTTTAAAATTATCCGTTCCGAAAGAAATCACTAAGTTCATTTTTCTATCTTTGTCTTTTGTGTTTCAGAAAATTCTCTAGGAAGCAGAGATGGGGAGAAGGAATCTGATGATTCTTCATGGTGCTAATAAAATTACATCTTCATGGTGCTAATAGAAATAAATTACAGAAAAAATAAATCTGAAGATTTAAATAGGCAAAGAACCATCTTCATTATGGTACCACAATAGTTTATTATGGGTAACTAATCTCTCTAAGTTTGAGAAAGTTTTTACTTTAAAATTGGTTTACGATGTAATTAATGATGCTTTATTTTTTGGATAACTAATTAATGATGGTTTACCCTAAAGTTTTGTACAACTGTTGTTCAAAAAAAATGAGTTGTAAAACTCAAAATAAATATTGAAGTTTAAAATTGTTTCTTACTATCTTTATTAGTATCAAATAGAAGATACACGTTACAACAAATAAACCAAAAAAAAAATTGTTTTAAATTTATATATATATAAGGAATTGACCATTCTTATGCATGTGGCCATGATTCTTAGGAGTTGACTCGATCTTTTCAGTCTTCGTTGACTTTATCAAATTACTGGAAAAATATGATATTCGACTCCAAAATATGATATGGAAAAATATGCAAAGTTGGACGCAATTTTACACGAAGCTCTTTGAGTTTCAGCAAATATGTAGCCGAACTCTTCTTATACATATACATTATTCTAAATACTGGTATAGAAAAAATCTAATTGTTGTTAGTGTAGTAAATTGCACCTTAAAATTTGATAGACGAGACGATTAAAGTCCATATATACTCCATAGTACTAATAGTAGAGTAGATAGAAACACGCCTTTAAATTTTCGCCAATAATAAGTGTGTCCAACTCAAACCTCTACTAGGAATCTACTGATATGTTAAATTGGTATATGCATATAAAAATATTGTGACGCATACATTACGGACGCTAACACTAGGCTGGTGATCTTGTTTTGGGTTCTATTGCAATGATTATACCATTTCAATAATACATCACGACTGCAAAAACTGTATTAAGTAACATTGACCTTAACAAAAATCAACTGATCTATCTTGAGTCAACGTATACGTTGGCTATAAATTAAGTAGCATTGCCTGTCTCATGTCTCATCCTTATATCTTCATCTTAATTACTCTTTAAAAGAGTAATATGGCTCCACCACCTCCGTCACCGCCGTCCGTTCTGTTGAGGACGGTGCAGCTCCTCCTACGAGTTTTGACGGCGGCTTTCCTCGTCATAACGGTGGTTCTCGTCAGCACCAACAGCGTCACCCTCGAAATTCGAGGAACCTCTATAAAATGGCGTTTTCAAGATGTTTATGCTTATAGGTAAATAAACTTAATGGGCTTGTTTTTTGTTTCTTCAGTTATCTTCGGGGTTCGTGTGGGTCTTGTGACAGTTTACTTTTTCTTAAACCAAAAGAGACTTGTGGAAAATTGTTCTATCCAATTTTACAACATTTCTACTCTTTTTGCATTTTGCTAATTATATACATATTCGGATTCATCATTCATGAAGGTATATGCTTTCGGCCGCCGTCATCGGACTAGCTTACGCTGTTGTACAACTCTTCTTGACGATCTCTCAATTCGCCACCGGAATTACACATCCTCTTAGTTATCTGTTCAATTTTTACGGCGATAAGGTTTCATTTCTATTTTTTTTTTTAGTAAATCTTAACTTCTAGTTCCAAATATAATAAAAGAAAAGTCACAACAGAGAATGTTAAGTAGATATGAAACAATCATGTCTCTCCACCTCATATTTTTCAGAATTTGAAATGATACGTATTAAATATGATCCGATTATGTTTCGCATGTTCTGTTTTTATATAATATTGATTTAACAATTTAAAATAAAATAAATTTAATGATTACAGATTAATTTGTATCTGCTATATAAAACGTAACATTTTAATAAAATATTTTCCTGTGTTTTATAAAAGAGAATGTATGATTCATGTTAATTATTGATCGTTGAATTTTGGACAGATAATATCATATTTACTTGCAACGGGTTCAGCAGCTGGATTTGGAGTGAGCAAAGATTTGAAAGACACATTCTTAGCATTAATAGAGTTTGATACAACAGATCCGGTGGATAAGTTCTTCAGTAAAGGATACGCATCAGCGAGTCTTCTTCTCTTTGCTTTCGTCTCTCTTGCCGTTTTATCAGTGTTCTCATCCTATGCTCTTTCCAAACGACCCATTCAAGCCTCATAGAGACACTCATATTTCATTTTACCCATTTTATGCTTGCTTCACATCTTAATTCATGTTTCTTCTCTCACTAAACGTGGAATTTAATAAGATTTTATGCTTTTCGAGATTTCTTGATCGCGTAATAAAAAGGTTATACGTAAGTAGACTCCAATTTTTCTTTCTAATTATGTAAACTGGTTAAAATGGGAACGTGGTCGCAAGATTGGTCTCGAATTTCGCCTTTGTTGGATTTCATTTCAATCAGAGGACTAGTGGCACATATGTAGCCAAATGCCAATCTATGGTCAACTCTTATTATGATTTTATTCTAAATATTATGAAAAAAACAAACTATTTTTCATATAAATGTAAATTTCGGAATATAAGATAGATGACAAAACTCTTGTTATTTGACGGAAACGTGTTTTCAGTTTTTAACCACTAGATGTTCATCAAGTTCGACTGCAAGTTGTAATATAAACATAAAAAATTAAAAACAAAATTCGTTAGACAAATATATATATAAAACAATTCGTTAGAGAAGATGTAAGCGGTAATCAAGTTCATCACGACTTCAATAATAACATTTTTTATAAGAATTCTATGACGTTGACATTCATAAAAAATTCAACTCCTATCTATCTAGTCAACGTTGCACCCAAAAAAAAAAATCTATCTAGTCAACGTGATTATTTTGCTTATAGATTAATAATAGCCATTCCATGTCTTCTTGATTCCCCAATTCTTTGAAAAAATACATTTTTAAACTCTCTAATAAAAAATGGCACCACCACCTCTTTCACCGCCACCTGTTTCATTGAAGGTAGTAAACCTTTTCCTGAGGGTTTTGACGGCAGTTTTTCTAGTTAAACTGTCATTGTCCTCACCACCACCATCGGATCTGTCAAATATCATTTCAATGATGTTTATGCGTATAGGTAAATGGAGCTGATCTCTTCGATATATATATATATTTTTTTTTTTTTTTCCCTTTAGTTTTAGTTATTTTTCGAGCTGAGTTGAGATGAACCGAAGTTATTTGCTCTAAGCTTTTCTTTGTGTCTTGTAACAACCATTTTCTTAGTTTTCCTCTTAAAGTAGGAATTTCTTTTAATAGATTTTTTTTGGCAATTTTCTATTTAGTTATTATAAACTGAATCTAATTAACTAGTTTACATTATGTTTTTGGATTCTTCAAGATACATGCTTGCAGCTGCCGTCATAGGACTAATTTACGCTATCATACAACTGTACTTCACAATCTGCCAGTTCGCCACCGGAACGACAAATTCGTTTAATTATCAACTTGATTTTTACGGGTATTCAATTTATTTCCAACCAAATTCATCATCAAATATCACATGAAAAATGGAGAAAATTATAGATACGTAATTTAATTTGTTGAACTTATTGAATCAACAAAAACTTGACTGAAAATGTTATACACATTTAACTAATGTTGATTAACATCTGGACAGGTAATATCATATCTAGTGGCGACGGGTTTGGCGGCAGGATTTAGAGTAACCAAAGATTTAAAAGATGCATTTATAGCATTTGTCGAATCTAATTCAACTGATCCCGTGGATGAGTTCTTCAGCAAGGGATACGCATCGGCCAGTCTTCTCCTATTTGCTTTCCTCTGTCTTGCCGATCTGTTTTCTCATCTCTTGCCATTACCAAACGATCATTTTAAGTCTCATCATGAGCATTACAAATACCATTTGCTTTCAGTATATGATTTTACCAAATAAATAGCTATTTCCCAATGTTATGTGTTGCTATTCATTTTGTAGACAATTTGAATTTGTTTTCGTTATGAAAGTTGAATAAAGTAGGAATTTCCCAGTATTATATGTTGCTATTCATAGCTTTTTTTCAGTGTTATGTGTTGCTATTCATTTTGTAGAAAAATTGACATATTTCTCGTCTTATAGTCAGGTGTGAATCCATTGTTGATGATCTGTGCAGGTCAAGACCTTGCTTCATCCTTGCGAGCATGAAAATGATGACCATCTTCCTCATTCACAAAGCAAGGTTAACAAAGTCTTTACTGAGCAAAACTTGTGCTTTATAGATACCAGACATTTCTCTTTTGTTGTGACACCTAGTCAAGAGAAAGTGAGCTCTTGTTCACCTTATGTTTATTGATAGAGTTACACCGTTAAAAAAGGAAAATATATTCAAATTGTTTCTTTTTTTTTTAGGTTTAGAAAGGATTCATCTGACATGTTGACTTCAAAGATTGCTTCCGTAGTAGCACCAAGACTAAAGCAGCTAAGAACACTTCAATTTGCAACAACAAGACAGAGTTTCTCGCTGGTAATCCAAACAACAAGGCAGAGTCTTCTCGCTGGTAATCCAAGCGTAGCTTCTTCTGCAAGAAACACAATATGAGCTCACCTTCTTTTTCAATCTCACTGTTTTTATATATTACTATGGGCCGACTATCTTTTCATGGGCCGACTGTCTTTTTCAATCTCATTGTTTTTATAGCAAAAACAGATGGTTTGTTTTAGCATTTGAAGAATTTTGTTCATTAAACTCAAAACCTTAAAGAGTGTTTTCATTTGGCTTTAATTTGTCAGTGTCTATTGTAAAAAATTAACGTCACTCAACCATCTTTTTGCTTAAAACCACAAAGACGTTAAAAAAATGGTCGTAAGGTTTGAATATTATTTTGAGAGAAGAGGTTAATGATTGCATATATTGCATATATCATGTATTTGAATGATTCTTAACTTATCAAACGTGAGGACCCACTTATAAGTGCAAAAGTGGAACATTTTGATTTGCGAATTCTCATAATATATATAATGGAACATTTTGATTCAAGGTTAACAAAGTCTCTATTGAGCAAAAACTTGTGTTTGAATGGTGCTTTATAGATACCAGACTTTTCTTTTTTGTTGTGACAACTAGTGAAGAGAAGACGAGTTCTTATTCACCTTATTTTCAGTGATATAGTTACACCGTCTAAAAAGGAAAAAATATTCAAATGATGATTAAAATTTGGACAGGTATTATCACATCTAGTAGGCACAAGTTCGGCAGCAAGATTTGTAGTAACCAAAGATTTAAAAGATGCATTTATAGCATTAGTCGAATTAGATTCGATTGATCCTGTGGATGAGTTCTTCAGCAAAAGATCATTTTAAGTCTCATCATGAGCATTACAAATATCATTTGCTTTCAGCATGTGATTTGATCAGATATATAGCTCTGCCCCGAGTGTTATGTGTTGTTATTCATTCTGAAGACAATTTGACTTTATTTTTGTTACGAAAGTTGAAAGTTGAAAAATATCATTTTATGTCTCATCATGAGCATTACAAATAATGTAGCTCAAGAAAATATATTGAATTTAATTGTTCGATTATACTAAATTCCAACAAACATTTTAGCTACAAAAAAAAAACACGCTTTTGAATTTTTGCCGCTAGATGTCAAACTTTGAAACTTACACCAGGAAATCTAAGTGTTGGAATGGATCCTTGAATGGTTGATAAATGATAGGAACTCAACTTGGTAAGTTATATTTACATGAAAAATAAAATACTATATTAGCAACATACTTTCAATTGATTCACCAAATATAACTATATTAATTTGAACCTGTAAAAAGCAAATCCTCGCAAGCTTCTTTTCTGACGACAAAATTGGATGCCTTTTTTTTTTAAGTTTGAGATATAAAAAAAAACTATCAGATTCATTTGGTAAGCTAGACAGCCTAGACGTGGTGATCGAGTTACAGCACGACTTCATCAATATAATACACTTTTGGTATTACGTTAATATTCGTAAAACAAAATTGTTTGACATTGACCTTAAAATTAATTAACTGGTTTATATGACTGTTTTATCCAATCGAGCAAAAGTCAACTCTTTTCTCTCTCTCTCTCTAGTCAACGTAAAGTTTTGGTTATAAAACTGACATTTTCATGTCTTGTACTTCGAACATCTCAGGCCTTTATCTTAACCTTACTCCTTCATTACCAGTTTCTTAAAGATCATTAAAATACCTTAAATAGCTATTTACTAATTACATGGCACCACCACCTCCCTCACCAACACCAGTTTCCTTGAAGAAGACAGTACTTCTTTTTCTTAGGGTTTTAACGGCGGTTTTTCTCGTTATAACAGTCATCATTCTCAGCACCAACAGCGTCACCATTGAATCTCAAGGAAACGCTTTGAAATTTCATTTTAAAGATGTTTATGCCTATAGGTAAAATCCAGTGAACCCCTTATTTTTTTCTTTTCCTCCTTCTTTCGTATAGTTATATTCGAGTTTGGTTGTGGAATAACATAAGTCATTAATCGAATTAATTTGGTTTACCTCTGTAATTTTATAACTCTTTCACTTAATTGTGATTTTTCTCTTCTTTTTTTTTTTTAAATTCTTGAAGGTACATGTTTTCCGCCGCCATTATTGGACTAGTTTACGCCGTCATACAACTGTTCTTCACAATCTCCGAATTCGCCACTGGAATAAAAAACCCTTTTAACTATCAACTCGATTTTTACGGTGACAAGGTTTATATACTATAACTTATTTAAAACCTTTTTTCAGCATTAGTATCAAGTTATCATGAATATATAATGTTATTATTATAACGTATCATTTCTTGTAATCAACAAACTTGACTGAAAGTGTTTTTTTATTTTATTATTAATGGTAAATTTATATTTGGACAGATAGCATCATATCTAGTTGCAACTGGTTCTGCGGCTGGATTTGGAGTTAGCAAAGATTTGAAAGATGCCTTTATAGCTTTAGTCGCATTAGATTCGACTGATCCTGTAGATAAGTTCTTCAGCAGAGGATACGCATCGGCCAGTATGCTTCTCTTTGCTTTCTTCTGTCTCGCCATTCTATCTATTTTCTCATCCCACGCCATTGCCAAAATTGAATCATCATTAATCAACTTATGATCTCCTTCTCAATATTATTTGATCAGATAGATTTGTCGCCATGTTATGTGGTTGGCGTAATTCTTTATTTAATGTGAGATTGTATTTGTTATGACAGCTCAAGTGTTGCTTGCTTATTCGAACCAAACCGTTCTATACCATATCGAATTTGGTTTTGCAACTTTTTTTTTCCTGAAAGCCAGAAACTCAATAAAATCGAATTAGTTTTACAACCTAGATTAAACACCCATTATTCCAACATTCAATATGTTTTTTTTTCTTAACAATACTGATATCGTTGATAAAACTAATTAGGTGAAATGTTGATATATATATATATATATATATATATTTTATAATAGTTGACCATTCTAGAGTTTAGACATTTTCAAAATACTGTGAACGTGCTCACCAACTAAAAAGTCTTCAAAAACAGATTCTTTTCTTTGATCCCGGTTTTTAACGGATGGTTGATTCAGCTCTATATCACTTTTTTTTTAAATCAGTACAATTTTGACCGAAACTACACAAACTGTTATACGTTAAAGCTAACTAATATGTCACCAGAAGAACGAAATGGCGCGGGCAACACCTCGTTTGTATGTAACTGACCCATATGGCCATATCCAAATTCTGAATATCCTATAGGAGCAGATATAAATTCGAAAATACTTTTAACAAAACATATGCTCATTTTAGTGGAGCAAAGATTGATATAATAATGGTAAAGCCTAAACCACGAAACCAACCCCAAAGAGCACACACCAACACATATCTGATCGAGATGCGTCTTGGCCCTACCTTATCTACACTTCTCTATTAATATTTTCTTGATTTCTTCTTCTTTTTTTTTTTTTTTTAACTTTTCACTATGCTAAACGTTTTCTTAGACAATGGAAGTCTCCCTTTCCTTTTGCTTCTTTCGTTTCATAGCCTCAAATGCTGTCAGTTCAAGAAACTATATTCTAGATGTTCTTTTTTGTTAAAGAAAATTGATATAGAAATTATTTATTATTTGCACAGGTGGTGACATGAATCGCATGTTGATAAATTTTAGAACGCACTATACCACTTGTTTTGGCGAAGATGCCTATATTCAAAGATCATGATTGTTCATACATCGACCGAAGTTTTTCTTTGAGTTGTAAAATTTTAAACTAAAATCTGCAAAGAAAAACTATGTTGTACATGCTTGGAAACTTCCCGTTACTGACGTATAGGTGTAAACATAATTAAGTAATGAATCTTATTCTAGCGTTTGAGTTTTGGACTTTCATTTATAAATAAAAAAATCGAATCAGAGAGAGCTCTTAGGCATGGTTTCAGGCAACTGGATATTACTAGGAATTCAACTCCTAGAGACGTGTTTCCGAGTTATAAAAGAAATTACGAAACATCTGTGTCTGATACATATAACAGCTTTTTTCTTATTCTATTTTTATAGTATATGTTATTCAATATTTTATACGTTAGAGCATCTCCAATTTACTTATATTTTTTCTTCTACTTTTAGAAAAAAAAATAGAGATATTATTTTTGTTTTCCAATCCACCTCTATTTTGGAGAAAAAATAGAATTGCTATATTTTCCTCCAAATATAGAGGAAAAATTAGGTATCTCTATAATTTCCTCTAAAATAGAGGTATTCCTCTAAAATAGAAGTAGATTAGAGAGAAATCAACCTCTATTTTAGAGTTCTTATATTTTAGAGGAAAATATAGCAACATGCATTGGAGATGATCTTAGGATACTTTAAGTTTTTAGATTTCTACAATCATTTCGGACCGAATCTCAGACTTGTTTAATAAATTGATCACACAATCATAATTTAGATCTAGTGAAATAATTCAAATTACCCTATTCCAACTTTTTGATGAAAACCCTTCAATCGTATAGAGACCATTATTATGTATAAATTGGTTATTTGAATTTTTAGATATCCTTATCAGTAATATGCCGTCGAATATTTGATTTTGAAAATTGCTTTGTTTTGACTGATAAATTTGAGACTTCTTATTTTTTTTGTTGATATTTTTCTTATATGTTCTTTTATACATCGAATAGCAATTGTAAAGAATCCAAACGAAAAAAGAATATAATATTTATTACGAATCAACTATCAAATCAATTGTGATGCATGGTTCAAAAATCTAGCTAAGCTAATTCGATGTCAACTCAGCTTGCCAAATTTGTCCAATATGGTGGGGGGAGAACATCATAATTACTCCATCTTCTTACATTTTTCTGTGTAAGATCATTTGTAATGAAAATTTTTTAAAAAAAAATCTCCAAAAAGTTCATGATATATATATACACGCATGATATCTCACAATGAAAGATATTTTAAACTTGTACATAAAGTATTAGCACATATCTGGCTTTGAATTTCACTAACGACCCTCATTAACTTGATAGATCGCATGTTTTGAACAGGTTAAAGTAAAGAACAAAACGAATTAAAATTTTAATTATCTGAGAGTAGAAACAAATCATTCTAACAAAGTAACACTGAAGATGGGAATATATATCGTCAGGAACGGTTCGCCACATAACATGCCTACGATATACACAATTAGGCTGTCGGGAATTAAACTCTGTGAGATTCGTCAGATCAGATAATATATATATATATTCCCTTATTATATTTAATCCAAAATATTACTATTATTGTTCTGTGCAGAAATATAAGGTTCAGGTGGAGAGAATCATAAAGTGCCAAAAATCCTCAACCACGACGTTGGCCAAAAGTTATTTTGTTTTCTTTCTTCCACATATGATCCGATTCGGATGCATTATGCGGTTTTCCATTTATTAAATGTGTTATGTGGACATATATTCACATATCTAATCGTTTTTCCAGCTCGATTAAAGTTATATATATTCATTTAATTTGGTGGGTTCAATTATTCGTTTATACATATGTCTCTTCTTATCTTATTTCATAAACTACAAATACATAATCGGCACGTATCCACTTTGTGTTTCTCAACTGAGTCTCATAATCCCCATTTGTTGGCAAAATATCATATTCGTTTGCTACCCTTTTATGACGATTTCTTATATCTTTCTCGACATTATTATATCATTTTTTGGAAGGAATCATAATTTTTTTTCTTACAGAACAATTATTGCAACTAATACAATTACCAACAAGTTGTCCAAAAAAAAAAAAATACCAACAATTTACTCGTTAACATTGTATACGTATAAGATTTTAATTGAAAACCGAAAATCGTTTATGGAAACAAAATTATTCGACATTTTTATTTATTAATGTTACATCAAAACTAAAAGAGCTGTGTAACTTGAGTCTTGATGAATACTTTTTTTTTATTATTATTGTAATCGGATAACGATTAACATGCTCGTTTTTTTGTAGAAAAAGTATGTGAAAACTATGGAATCTCCAATGGTATTTAAAACAGATGAATTCGTTGGGAAGTACTCAATTCCCTTGGTTAAAAGGACCAAACCGGAATTTAACTTTTATAATTAACAATTGTAGTTGATGTTTCCATCATCATCACGACCACCAATAACTTATATAATTATATGTGTTTGCTTATTATATAAATCAGGGATAATATATAAAGCATGTTATATATTCTATATAGCAAGAATGGCATATATACTCTCACTATCAGACTTGCATTACTTGGTGGAATCCCTAGAATTCCTCCTAACCCAAAAGTCATATTTTAATTTTTAAATTACCATGAAATAAATAATACTCAACCCTAAAAACCCTCCTATAAAACAAACCTCACCCCCTCCCACATTTCTCCATCAGTTCTTTCTTACATCATATTTCTTATATCTCACTTTATACTAAAGTACGTATAGATATGACTCTAAAAACATGGAAACCATTTCTAACTGTTATTTCTCTACAATTCGGATATGCTGGACTATCGATCATAGCGAAATTCGCTCTGAACCGAGGCATGAGTCCTCACGTTCTAGCTGCTTATCGTCATATCGTCGCTACAATTTTCATTGCTCCGTTTGCCTTTTTCTTGGATAGGTATAGTATTTTCATTTGGCCTTCTTAAAACTGTACGTATTATGATCATGCATGCATGTATGCTTTCACGTATCGTATACGTAAGTGTAACTACGTATTTGTATAGACTACCATGTGTACGTATAGCTTACTTTATTTTGCTTTTGAACTGAGCAGAAAAATTCGGCCAAAGATGACGCTGCCCATCTTCTTCAAGATACTGTTGCTTGGGTTATTGGAGTAAGATATTATTATACTATTTTTTTCTTTTACTTTTGAACATTTATATTGATTTATTATGTTTTAAGTACCGAGTGTTGAATTGAATTTTTATCTATATGTTTATAGACCAACAATCGATCAGAACTTATACTACACTGGTATGAAGTACACTTCCGCAACTTTCACAGCTGCAATGACCAATGTTCTCCCTGCCTTTGCCTTTCTTATGGCATGGATCTTCAGGTAAATACTTATAAGTTGACGTGGTTTAGGTTTTGCTCCGGTTCTTGTTTTTTTTTTTTATTTTTTTTGTCTAAAGAATCATGAAATTTGATGTGTAGACTTGAGAAGGTTAACATCCGGAAAATACACAGCCAAGCCAAGATTCTAGGGACAGTTGTGACAGTTGGTGGAGCAATGCTTATGACTGTTGTGAAAGGACCTTTGATTCCTTTGCCTTGGGCTAATCCTAACGAAAATCACCAAGAATCATCTAATCCCGGGGTCAAACAAGATCTTACAAAAGGCGCACTTCTCATCGCTATAGGTTGCACCTGCTGGGCCGGTTTTGTCAATCTCCAAGTAACTTTAAAGACCAATATTTACATATAGTAATTATTCAATTTATAATAAGCGACTGACTAGAGTACTAAACGCACTCAAATGATTGGTTATGCAGGCCATCACTCTTAAAGCTTACCCGGTAGAGCTATCATTGACAGCTTACATATGCTTAATGGGGTCTATTCAAGGCACCATTGTGGCACTTTTCATTGAAAGGGGGAATCCTGCTGCTTGGTCCATCCAATTGGATTCTAAATTACTAGCTGCTGTTTATGGTGTAAGCTTAATTATACTAATATATAATTAGGGTTTGATTATTCCGGTTATGTACAAATCAAATAAAATGATCTTAATTACTGT